GGAGTAAGCATTATCCTTTAACTTCACTTTCTCTCACTAAATAGTTCAAAGTTTGGTGACTATGTTGAACGCATCTATCCCATCGAACTTTAGATAAAGGATACAACAGATACATTTTAGTTTGACTCATATCTTGACTTACATCTAGAAATTGACATTGAGGGTCGGTTGAAAACAAAACTTTCAGCTTCTCAATTGTGAACTTTCCATTTCTATGTAGCAACATTCCAGCAGCTCCTGCATGTGCAGTATATATCTCCCAGTTCGCACGATATTCCAGGGCTTGTATTTCCTATCATGATTTTCTTGATAGAGGGTTGCTGTTAACAAGGAAGCGATTAAACCAAAAATTCCTAGTGGTGAAGTTGAAATCATCTCTTCGTAAATTTTACGGACGCCATCACGAGTTGGTTAACAGTTATGGAATATCTGTTTCACAGATGACGACTGATTTGTTCCAATTGTCGTAACTACAATCCCGTCCACTTTTCCAGAATGTGACCTACCGAATTAGACTTATCACCAGGTTTGTACTTACATGAGCAACACGACGGGTGCCACATGTGGAGCAAGATCTGCTTACTCTTCCGGAGCACCTGAGGTCATCCCTGGTTATTGGTGAGGTTCGTGTTGCTCAGTCTTTAGTTTTCTATGTTTTGTTTTGTGTACTGTTATTTTTCTTTTGGTCTTTTTCAGTTTTTGCCATGGCGTCGATAATAAAAAAAAGTTTATTTTCGACTTATGAGTTTGAATGTCCCTTCAACATAATAGGCAAAAACACATAAAATTTATTAAAATAGATCGTCATTAAAGGGCAATAACTCCAATAAGAAGTTGACTGAGGACTTCGGTCAAGTTGATTTATTTGTAAATCTTGTCTTTCTGATCATTTTTGCTTTTTAGGTTTCTCTCTATTATAGTTTTTAAGATAAAAGGCAAAAATGAAAGAAAACTAGAGGCTCTACAGAGCCTGTGTCGCTTACCTAGGTCTATGTGCATCTTCAACAATGGACTCTCTCCAACATCGTAACCTAGAATGGAATTAATGAGAAAAAAAATTTTTCAGTTGATCTTGTATTGTTGATATTTTTTTTCAATTCAAAGTGTCTTTCTGTCTTTAATAGTTTCAAAGATAATCTGCAAAATTGCAAAAAAATGGTAAACATTGTCATTAAAGAGCAAGAACTCCCGTAAGGAGTCGACTGACGATTTCGGCCATGCTACCTTATTTATTTGTAGATCTTATCTTGCTGATAATTATTGCTATTTACAATGTCTATCTATCTATTATAATTTTCAAGATAATATGCAAAAACACTAAAAATGGGTACATATCTTCATTAAGAACAAGAACTCCAATAAGGAGCCGACTGACCGTTTCGGCGATGTTGACTCGTTTGTAGATCTTGTCCTGCTGATCCTTTTTGTTTTTTTTATTAAAGTTTTTATCTATCTGTTATAGTTTTTAACATATTAGGCATTAACTCGAAAAATGGGTTAAAAAATCGTCATTAAAGGGCAATAACTCCATTTAGGAATCTATTGATGATTTCGGCCGCTAAACTTCTTTGTAAATTTTGTCTTGTTGATCATGTTTGCTTATTAAATATAAAAATAAGGTGATGTGGTATGATTGCCAATGAGACACCTATCCACAAAAGTTAAAATTAAGTGATTGTAAGCAAGTATAGGCAACAGTACGGCCTTCAACAATGAGAAAGACAGAATCCGAGTCCGTTCACCCAAAAACACGTTCGCGCCCATTCACGTGCGCCCCCTTTTACTTCCGCACCCTACACATTCGCACCCAAAGTCCGTTCGCACCCTACACGTTCGCGCCCTTTTTATTGGTTTTGTGTTTAATAATTTTGTAATCGATTTTTGGTAAGTGTATTGCTGTAAATATTTTTTTTCATTGTTTCAAAATAAAGTGAAATTCTGACAACATTTTTTTAGTGTTGAATAAATCTTAATCATGTTTTGGTAAGTGTATTGCTATAAAAAAATTTCATTGTTTCTAAATAAAGTGAGATTCTGACAACCTTTGTGTTTGTGTTGAATAAATCTTAATCATCTTTTGGTTAGTGTATTGCTATAGATTTATGTTTTCATTGTTTCAAAATAAAGTGAGATTCTCACGTTTTTTTTTGTGCTGAATAAATCTTAAATTATGTTTTGGTTAGTGTTGTGATATAAATTTTTTTTTTCATTGTTTCAAAATAAAGTGATATCAAAGGGGCCAAACTGTTAAAATCAATTATCTTTCGTGTTCCCATACCGTATAGTCGTCTATAAAAGACCCCGACATTAAATTCAATCATTGAGAAAACTAACGGCCTAATTTATAACAAAACAATTTACGATAAGCAAATATGACAGACATGAACCTACAACAACCACTGAACTACAGGCTCCTGACTTGGGACAGGGACATAAAGAATGTTAAGTTTTTATCTTTATTATAATAATTATAACTTTTAAGATCTTAGGCAAAAACGCAAAAAATTGTAAAAATCGTCAATAAGGAGAAATAACTCAAATAAGGAGTCGTCAACGATTTCTGCTATGTTGACTTATTTGAATGTAGATCTTGTCTTGCTGATCATTTTTGCTGTCAAAAGTACTAAAATAGGTAAAATCGTAATTTAAGAGCAATAACTCCAATAAGGAGTCGTTGGACGACTTCAGCAATGTGGACTAATTTGTAAATCATGCCTTGCTGATCATTGTTGCAACTGAAAGTTTCTCTCTATCTTTCAAATTTTTTTTTACAATAATAGTAAAAATTGAAAAAAAAATCATAAATTCATCGTTTAATGGCAATAATTCTTCAAATGACAGTTTTGATGTAAATGGTCTCACCATCCTGAACATTTCTACCCCTGTCATATTTTCTCTATTCATAGCAGTTTTCAAGAGAATAGACAATTAATGCATTTGACCCCTATGTTCTAATTTTAGCCATGTGGTTGGCAGGTGGTGTCATTAGACATATTTTTTTACTTGACTAGAAACCCTATGATGATTGTGGTCATGTTCGGTTAAATTTGGCCCAGGAGTTTCAGAGATTTTAGTAAAAGTAACAAACAACGATGATTGATGACATACGACAGACGCCAAGCAATGAGAAAGGCCAAGTGATGGGCCAAGTGAACCAAAAATGGTCAAATTCATCATTTAAAGGGCAATTTCTTCTGTAAGAAGATTTCCGCTTCTGTCAGGAATTCTCTCTATATATAGGTTTTCAAGATAATAGACAAAAGTTGCATGTTATCCCTTTGTTCTATCTTATCATTCATGTTGGTTGGCAGGCGTTGTTGCCGGACACAATAAATTGTTAATAAGTTACCCCAAGGATGATTGTGACCAAAAACCTCATCATAGATACCAGGCTTAAAATTGAGTATGCCCGACACTCATTTTCGTCTGCCACATGTAAAGATACATCAGTGACACTTGAATCAAAAACGTTTAAAAAAAAAGGTCGAATAAAGTACGAAGTTGAAGAGCATGTTTGATTGGAATTGGCCCAGTAATTTCAGAGAAGATTTTTTTTTGGTTATCCTTGTCAATTTTGCTCAAGTAGTTAACGGACGAAGGATGCTAATTGATGAGAAACGTAAATAAAAATGTCATCAAGAGGCCTAACTCCTCTAAGTAATCAGTTGAGAATTTTGGCTATTTTGGCGTATTTATAGATTATATTGTGCTTAATATCTTTGTCAATTTCTATTTTTTTTGCAAAACAGAGTAAAACCCTTCTTTCAAAGGCAATAACTCCTATCAAGATTCAATTGACGATTTCATCCATGTTGACTTATTTGTAGACCTTATAGAGCTCAACATTTTTGCTTTTTACATTTTATCTCCTGATCATCTATAATGGTTTCTACAAAAATGAGTTTCAATCATCTTTCAAGGGCAATAACTCCTATCAAGATTCAATTAACCATTTCGACCAGGTTGACTTTTTGTAAAACTTATTTTGCTGAACAGTTTTGCAATCACAATTTTTCTCTAATAGTTTTGCCAAAAACGGGTCCAAAAAATCTTTCAGGGGCATAATTCCTATAAGTGGTATATATATATATATATGACTTATTAGTAGAATTAGGTATGCTGAAAGATTCTTTCTATCTACTATAGTAGGTAAAAAAGGCCAAAAAATTTAAAAATCATTGCTGAAAGACAATAACTCCTATAAGGAGTTAATTCCAAATTTTTGCCATTGTTTTTTTTTACTTAGGTATCCAAATTTCACGCTGTTTGTTTTAGTCTTCAACATAATAACCAAAAACTTCAAAATTTGGAAAAAAAATGAAATCTTAAGAGGCAATAACTCCCAAATTGGTTGAAAGATTTTCTGAAAAATCCTAAGAAACTAGATCTTGCTTGACCTAATTATGAGTCCTAATGGACTTCTGATGTCACAGATTAATGAAAATGTAAATCATCTTTTACCTGTTTTTGAATGATTTATTGTGGGTTAATCGTAGCAATGCCCCTCTAGTTGGTTTTGATAGTTTACAGTAACAACTACTGTCAGTTTATTGATGATCTAAAAGAAATAATTTTAGAAACATATTAAATGCTTTAGAACATCCATGCCAAATTTATTTCCATTTGGTCATTGGTCATAATGGACATCCCCCCTTCTGTCTGCCTAAGAGGAAGATCAGCTTTCATATACCTACTACAAATGCCAGTGACAGGAATGTTGTTATGAATAACATTTATCTTAAAGGTAATCCTGGGACATAATATATCAAATAGTTCTAGGGTAATGATAGGCGTATTTATGATTAGGATAAACAAAATACAAAGGAGTTAAGAAAAGCATAATTTCGTCTGCCAAGGGAAAAGATAACATGATTGCAAAATAAAAAATAAAAGAGAACACTTAATGAAACCATCAAGGCCAAGCGAGACATAAAAGATGATATACATTAGTCTGAAATAATTTTTTTTATTTGAACAAAAACAAAACAAAATTATGGCATGATCAACAAATATTGCAAGATATAAATAACAGTATCAAAATATATAACAGAAACAGAACAATATCACATTCATGGATCAGTATTTTTTCAACAATAAAAATCTAGAATAATTTAGGCCATACAACAAGTCAACTTATTTACAAGGCTCAACATTTTTCTATCACAGATATTGATGACGCTTTGTCTATATAAAAAACACACACAGTTTCAGTATTCACACAAACAATTGTTATAGTGCTCAGCAATAGCAATCATAATATACAATAATTAGAATATACACTCATTCATAAAATAGATTGAAAGATAGAAAGGTTATATGACAAAGCAAAGTTTTCAGAATATTTACACCACTCACCGACAAAAAATACATACTCGCTCCTCTGACATACATCACTAGTAAATGGTATAAAGATGATTCTTGATTAAAAAGAAAATGGAAAAGAAAAAGATGCTGAAATAATTCTTTTTACGTGGAAAAGTGAATTTTAAGAATCCCAAAATTTTATTACCAGTATGATGAGGGCTTTTCCATTAAAATGAATGTGGGAGAGTAAAAATGGAAGTTTTATTTTTATAGATAAGTCATTTATAGACGTAAGTCCATTTGAAGTATGCTAGTCATTTATAGACGTAAGTCCATTTGATGTATGCTAATCTGTTGAGAGTATGATGGAGGGGGGATTTTGGAAGTTCCTTCTTAACCCCTCACATCCATTTTCATGAAAACAAGACAGGCATAATGTTATTATATGCTGAAAAATCTGTGAATGTTGCATGGAAATCTATTAACCAGTTTCAAAGAAGAGTAGAGGCAAATCAATGGACCAGCATTCAGTCACACCTAACACTATATACACTTGGCTGTTACAAAAAGGGGTACACTGGTAATAAAGTTTTAATATTGATTTGTGCAAGACTTATGCTAAACCTTTCAAAAGAAAAGAATTGCAGTTTTTTAATACATATTGAAATATACCATTATTCATAATTTGTATCAAAATGCAGTTAGTAATAGATTTATTTTCATATATCATCAGAGTATGAAAAGTGATGTGTGATAAATGTCAATGAGACAGATAGCTTTAGCCAACAATACAATTAAAATATAAAATGACAAATCTATAGTAATTAACATTTCAAATCAAGAGGAGAAAGTTTGTATTAAACACACATCTCACGAAAGAACTTATGTCACAAGTTATGTGATTAAATATTTACCACAGTTAACTTTTATTACTTTGTACTCATGTAAATCAAACACAACAACTATGTAGAGCAAATGTTTTAGATTCTCAAAGTTTCATTGTATACTCCTACTACTTCCAACATTAATTTTATTTTTTTTTACAATACCATAAATACACAAATATTATCAATCACAGAAACTTGTAATAGTTATTTGATTGTTCATATAAAAATTTCCATCATGCTTTCACATTAAAACAGATCTTTATTCCTTTGCATCATTGATTCCTCCAGCAGTAATGGCAAAGGTAGCTTCATTTTCTGGTAAATCAGGACTGAAAAAAAAACATTTGCTTTTCTATAAAGTTCTAAAATATCCTCATATCCTTCCATGGCCCATAATATACACCTTTTTCAAGTAGAGCTTTAAAACTGGAAAATTGTTTTTATCTAGGAGATAACAATATTGTACATGCATTTAGAGATTTGCTGGCATCAATTAGCAATTTAACGGTTGCAAATTGAGTTTACTATTAATGTATAAGCAGGGTCATAGAATTGATGTGTTGAAATTGGTGACAATATTGGATCAAAATGAATATTACAGACGCTGTTGCATAAGAATGACACATCCTATCCTGAAGGATGAAAACTATATGGATGAGAATGAAACTTTTCAATCGGATATGTTTGCTTTGTTAAACAAAGGCCTCAACAACAAAATTGGTTAACACTGTCTCTTCTTAACCAGCATACAGATATCATAATAAATGTCAACAAATTTAATGTACACATTTATTTCAAGCATTTTGTCTTTTTCCTTTTTTTCAAATGCCCTTTAGTTATCTAGATTTTCCCTTTCTTCCACTTTACATTTATATGACTTAACATGGATTTTAAACCTTACAACTGCCTTCAATTGGCTATTTGTTCTCTCATTTCAACTGTTTTACCCTCAAATGAGTATTTAGAATCAAAGTGAATAAAAATATAACCTGTCATATATTTTAGCAACTCTAGTTTCCCCTCTTCCTTTACGTAAACTTATTCTAGTGGTTGAAGCATGTGCTAAAATATTTCCACCAATAGGTTTCTTTGGATCAACTTGAAAACTGAAACAGAGAACATCATGCACAGTAAAAGTATGTAATAACATTACGGGTCATTCTTTAGTTCAAATCAATTTCATATAACCTCAGAAATTAATTAATTAAAAAAAAATGATTTATTTTATGCCAATGATTTAAACACATTATTACTATGAAGTGGTTTAATTCTGTTTGAATTTTAATGTTTCGAGAGAAAAATCTGTTTGCAAGCTTTTATTTTTGCCATTTTTGTGGTCCTTTATATTGATCTTCCTTTTAACAAGAAAAGATATTTAAATTTTTTTTTATCCTATTTCATGTTATGGATTTTGTAAAAATAAAACCCTTACCAAATTATTTCCAACTTTACAATAATTTTGTTTTCTTCACAAATCAAAAGTGTCATTTACTTTCAGTTTGCTAAAGATAAAGAAAATGTAAGAAATAAGTCAATTCAACACAGGGTTTCCATCCTCAAATTTCAGATACTTTGAATTGCAAGCTTTGTTTTTTACTGGAAATGTTTTGCAATGATTGACCTCCACATTTGTTCAACAATTGAAACTCACAAAGGTAGGTCCACTTTTAATACCAAAGTGAATCTAGGTGCTTACCTCCACATCTTTAGTCTCTGGTGGATTGTTGTCTCATTGGCTATCATATCCCATCTACTAATCTTTACACTACTAGAGTAATTATACTTTGATTTTGCACATGTGATAATATTGGAAATATTTTGGCTAATAGAAGACAGCTGGTAAAAAAAAGTGAATTCATAAGCCTGAAGCTTACTCACATGCACATCTTTATGATTTGGAAAAATTCTGGATATTTTGATGTATATATATTATATGCATTTTTATCTTATTTTTCATTGATCAAAAATGAGGTTTGTACATACGATAATGCTGCTCCTGGATCAGCTGTCATCTGATTGGTTATAAATACTGCCACATTATACTCTGAAATATAAAAACATATCAGTATATTATTTTGAGAGGACACTACTGGTATGTTGGTTTTTTTTAACAAAAATATCTAAGAAAACCACAATATTATTGTTAATTCCTTAAAAAAATTTCTTTCCTAATTGTGGCCACTATTTTATTGGCGCTAAATTCATAAACGATTTTGTGCTCCAGTAAAAAAGTTCATAGAATAACTTCAAGTAAGTATTTTATCAAATCTTATGATAGAAATAAAGATGTGCCTCCAATTTTCAAATAAAATAACTACAAAGATAAAGAATAAAATAGTTCATAAATACACAAGAAACAGGTTTCAACAAATTTTTGTTTACACATGTCTCTTTGAACAAGTGTCAGCAAAATTTCACCTGTCCAAAATAAATCTTTTTTTTTTCATATTTTGTTTGCTTACAAAAGCTTAATACAGAACAAAATATCAGCATAAGACAACAGTTTTATAAAAAATACTACATAGACACTATTCATGTAGCACAACACATAAACTGGTAATACTACATCTCTTATATTGTCAACCTATTTTCATGATCTGTATGTATTCAATCACAATGTATTTATAAAGAATTGGCAGTTACTGAAAATAGATTTTCGTTTACATTTTTTGAAGAGATTTTGGTTTAAAGAAAAAGAGTTAACCTTTCAGATCTGAAAAGTGAATTCAAATATATATCATCAAACAAATCACGTCATTCTGGTCCGTATTTTATACTTTCCACAAACTTTTTGAACATTTGTGGTACTTGACCAGACATTTAAAGTAAATAAAAAACTTCTGTTCCCTTCAACTACATGTATGGAATACTAGTATTTTATCCACATATGATTCACAAAATCTATAACTTTTTAACAAGTCATGCTAAAATGACAGTTCCCATACCTTCTGAGATTTTCTGAAGTCTTGATAACATTTGGGCTAGCTTCTGTTGTCTGTCTGCTAGTTCACCTCTGCCACTAAAGTCAACTCGGAACAAAGCCATTATGGAATCTACTATCTAAATAAATAACAATGAAACTAAATTATATATCCGTGTTTGTTTGTGTGATGATGCTATAATGTTTACTAAGGTTTCACCATTGCCTGATCTTTGTTAACTTATAGTTTTATATAGATATAGGAAGATGTGGTATGAGTGCCAATGAGACAACTCTCAATCCAAGTTACTATTTATTAAAGTAAACCATTATAGGTCAAGGTACGGCCTTCAACACGGAGCATTGGCTCACACCGAACAGCAAGCTATAAAGGGCCCCAAAAAATTACTAGTGTAAAACCACAACACGGAGCATTGACTCACACCGAACAGCAAGCTATAAGGGCCCCAAAAAATTACTAGAGTAAAACCATTCAAACGGAAAAACCAACGGTCTAATCTATATAAAAACGAGAAACGAGAAACGAGAAACATGTATGAACTACATAAACAGACGACAACTACTGTAATCAGATTCCTGACTTAGGACAGGTGCAAACATTTGCAGCGGGATTAAACGTTTTAATGGTACCAAACCTTCTCCCTTTTCTGAAACAATAGTATAACATCACAACATAGAAAAACACACTATAAAATATCAATTGGAAGGCTTAACTCAATCAAAAAACGTAAATTAACACACAATGAACGAATAAATTTGACCTGTGACACCTGAATGCAAATGTCTGTTAGAAATTAGATGTCCTCATCTCTGCATTGCTTTTGTACTTTTTGAGTCACTTTTTAAATTTCTGTAAGTCTGTTTGTTTTTTTTTCCACTCTTGTTTTGATAAATTTTAAGAGTGATATTGTCATTTTTTTGTGAGAATAAATGGAGAATGTGTCCATGGAACACAGATGATGCCCCGCTGGCGTATAACATTATAAAGGGACATAACTCAAAAAAGGTAAAAGTGACGCCACCCGAATTAGAAGTTGATCTGAGTTTTGTGGTAATAAGTATTGTGTTTAAGTTTCATAACATTTGGTTATGGCAAACTTAAATTAAGACTAGAGAACAGAAACCAATTTAGGAACGTACGTACGTTCAGACGGACAGACAAGGGTAACACTTAATTGTCCCTCTGCTGCAGCAGGGTCATAAAAATATGTTTTGGGAAAATCCATTTTGAAATGATATCCCTTACTCTGTCCATTCCAGTGCAACAAGTTCTTATGGTTTGGACTCTGTAACAGTCACAAACCACAATTAACAATAATAATTGGTAATGATTTCTTTGCTAGAAGAGAGAACTAGGTGAAAGGAACAAACAGTCCCTGTAAATACAGCCTTCAACTTATAATTGCAATGTTATCTCTTGTAACTGAAAAATGTTCTCACATTGACTAACAGAAGAGGCATCATCAGGGTCTTATCAAGTTCATATGGTTATTTTAAGACTCTAAAAGCCAAAAAAAACACAATTGACAGCCAATGTGTGTTAATTATTACTGATGACCAAGAGACAACAGCTTCACTAGAAAAGGGAACCAGGTCTGGGGGACATACAGTTCCAATAATTTCAGAGCTTGGAAGTAATCACTCAGCATGTAAAGTAAATTGGTCCTCACACCCTGTTTTACAGAAGATACATTCAGGATCTTAAAAAGGCCTAACAGAAAAAAACAGTTCACAAAATTCTTAAAATCAATACCTTTCTTCTTTTAATTGCTTTAGTTGCTTTTCTCAGTCAATAAAATCCTGTTGCAATTTGCACAGGATGCCTAATTTTAATAATTATGAACAAAGTAAATACCATTTATGTGGGAAATTGTCTCACTTTAATATTGGGAAAGTTTCAGTCCAAATTGTCAAATTAATCTTGTAGAAACTGTACATACTGTGGATTCATTCAATTTTCAGGTGTTGGGGAAAGATTGTATGTCCATGAATACTTAATTTCGTGGTTTTGCCAAAGTATGCTTGTAAACCAATTGAAAATATGTATTTCATCGTTCACCTGTACCCACAACATCCACAAAAATTGGTACCCTAAGAATAAAAATGAATGCCCAGTTATCTAATGGAAACCAAATTACTGACATAAAGACTATTTGATTATGTTTTTACAAGTTCTTTAATACATACCAAAAGTTTAAAAACACCAGGTTCTTCATAAAATTTAGCAGCTACAAAATCTAATAATTCATGCTGATGTTCACCTGAAATAATTAATAAAATATATTTAAAAAGCTGATATACACCTATAATTTGCCAATGCAAAAATAATAAAACAATATATCAAATAACATGTTTTAGATATTCACACGTCTTTACTTTGTCAATGATCTATCTCAATTTTGTCTTCATAGTTGTTTCAGGCCTTCAAACTCTTTGCATTTAAGGAAAACTGCCATATGTCAACAGTTTGAAGAGATTTTTACTAATTTCTAGACTTTTTCATTCTGTTTAGAGATCAATTTTAACACCATTCCACATTCTAAGTAAGAATGTATTGTTATTCATGTGTAAAATGGGACATAGGATGTAAATCAATAAAACTCACTTGTATAAGCTCTGGCATAAATAACATTATCTAACACAGCGCTCTGATCGAGGTTAAATCTGTCTGCAATGGTTCTCAGTCTGTCAGGACGACTTGTCGTATGTTAAAGAAAATCTATATATATCGAATATATGTTAAACAAATACCCCTAAAAATGTCTACAAAGGTATATTATGACAATTGAAAGAAGTTTGTCATCACAATAGTGATTGATTGATTGTTGTTTGCTAATGTCCAGTGGCAAATATTTCATGCATGATCAGGACGATCTCTATCATGTAAGAAGTCACAGTATAGAAAAAAATATCAAACCAATATGTACTTTAAATTATATGCTATTTCCAAACTTTACAGGGTTAAGTAAATACAAATTTTATTGAAGTGAGTGTAATATATATTGAATTGCTTGCAGTACATGTGTGAAATTTCTTCAAATACGTTAATCATGATGTTTTGTTGCACATTCAGTGAATTGTCCAGCATTACTTAATTTCTGCACAGTAATTGTCTTAAAAAGAAATTACTTAAAATGGCCTTTTCCTTATTTCAAAGTTCTGATTGTTTTCTGCTCTTTAGAATTACAGAAGTAATGTTTGGATACAAGGTATTTTCTGTATCAATAAGAACCACTTTACCACCAGTATACCCATTGGCTCCAGGAAGCTGTGCTGTTACTGAAATAAAAATTTAAAAAAAATGTTTTTCTGCTATTGAAAAATATATAAATTTTCAGAATTTCTAAATTTCCTAAAGAAAGAATTTCCCATCATTGTTTTATATTACCATTCAAGAAAAAATATTTCTTAAAATACCTCCGCTGTGTGCATTCACAAATAGTCTTCTTTTTTTTAAGAATTTCATGGATATCTCATTTTCAATTTGTTCTACATTTGTAAGTTTCTAAAAACAAATTCGCTACCAATTTATTTTTCTCAATTTCTTTTTTTAAGAGTGTTTCAAACAAGATTGTAGCTTTAATATTGTAAAAGTGCAAACCATGAGCAGCCTTAATGTGTTGCTCTAAAGTGACTTCAACTGATGTTTTGGCAATCTTTACTTTTTTACTCTGTATATAACATATCAAACATGTACAGCAAATTACATTCTGCTCATATAAAATATTTAACTCTTACCACACATTGTATGAGACAGCTGTGTTTTCCCTGTTCTGAATTCACCAAAGGCTTCAGTTATTGCCATGCTTTCTAATCCTCCTCCACAAAGTTTACTGAAATGAAATTTCTTCCATTAAATCTTAAATAGCAATGAGAATTCATTCATGCGTATAAGGAAAAAAATGGTGTATTTCAACTGAATATTTTTTATTTTCGACATTCACACCCAATCGCATTATTTGCATTAATAAAAACCTCGCAATAATTTCTGAATTTACAGTGTGCATATGATAATGGTCACAAATTAAGACAAAAGTTGTTACTTTACCATTGTAATTGTTGACACTATCTGATTTTCTGATTACACCCAATTCAGAAAAAGCTTATTTTTTAGACCAATGCAAAGACATTTGGTATGCTCTTGCAAAAGCATCCATGCATCCCAGCTGCAGAGGTTTGTAGTGAAAAATAATTTCTCAGTTTACATGCATGTTTATTAGGAGAAAATTTGTTAATGCTTAATGACCATAGGTGTTATCTCTCCTGATTTGTAGGGACCTCAGATTTTAGCAAAACTAAAAGTCCAAGACTTCACTTTGAACATGCACATTTTTAAATCTAAAGTTCGGTGTGAGCCAAGGCTCCGTGTTGAAGACCGTACTGTGACCTATAATGGTTTACTTTAAAAATTTTGACTTGGATGGAGAGTTGTCTCATTGGCACTCATACCACATCTTCTTATATCTATAAACAATTCTTTAACCAACTTCTAATCTCAGTGTTGGATAATGTATAGGAATATACAAGATTTTACTCTGCTGTGCACATCAATGTGTAAAAATAAACAATGTTAGTAAAAACTAAATACTCTAATTCTGTGCTTCCTGTGGTTATTCTGAAGACAGCTTTTCTTTTATCAGAATACTCTAAAGCAGTCAAAAAACCTGGATCCTGGAAATACAAGAATGAAATGAGGCATCTTCTACTGATAACAACAAAAATAGATAATAAATTGTCATTCATCTTATAAATGCTTAAGACATACTAATTTTCGATTTTTTCAACTGAACCAACTCACTTTTTTGAAAATTAATGACATTTATCTTTTTCCGGTGTAGTTTCCTTCCCCCTACTTGGTATTATATATATTTTATGCTTAACACATGTAGAAATAAATTTGGAAGGTGTATGAAAATAACAGAAGAATGTGTCTGAGGACACTAATGCCCCCCACTCAAGCTTTGAAATTTTCCAAATTAAAAAGGGGCATAACTGATAACTCTAGAACGGTTAGTGACTCACTGCCATAACTCGAACTCGGTCTGCTAGTTTTGGTTCTTAGCATTGTGTATGAGTTTCATAAAATTTGCATGAGGCGAACTTAAGTTAGAGTGCGGAAATGAAAATAGGTCACACGGACAGAAGGATGGATGGTCGAGGGTAACACTAAAAGCCCCTGTTACCTACCCGGGGCATAACAATTTGCAAGTATTATACACTGTCCTCACTTAGGGACTATATTTGTAGACAAAATTCAAAGGACGATATAAACTGTGCCAGATCATGGACCATATACATTAGGATGATTACAGTAATTTAATACATACACAGAATGGACCATATATACATTAGGATGATTACAGTAAGTTAATACATACACAGAGCTTATTTGCAGCTTCTTTGATTTTTTCCATTTTTGCTTCAGAAATTCCTTTAACAGCACAAAGTTTTTTCTTGGTGGTCATTTGGATTCCCTGCAATAAAACAATTTTGCATATTTTAATGGTTAAAATTTCAATCAAGTATGAAGTTACAAGGTAAAAAACACTTGCTATTGTTGGAGTCTTGATAAAAAATAAAAAAAGTACTTAAAAGTTTATACATGCCTTTATGGTGCATATTCCCACTTGCTTCAGTTTCTTTATGTCAGCTACATTCTACAAATAAAAAAAAAAAATAAACCATTTGAAATGATGTTTTTATTCAGACTCCTAATTGGGAATTTTAAGCAGAAAGACTGAATCTTTACACAAAACTGTTAATATATCTTTTGCAGAGCCTTGATTGAAAAAATCAATTTCATTATACATTTTCTATGTTTATATAAATGTATTTCACTAAATTAGTATACATTATTGTTTAGGGCCAGCTGAAGCCCGCCTCAGGGTGTGGGATTTTGCTGCCTGGAAGACCCATTGGTGTCATTGGGCTGTATTTTGCTCTATGGTCAGGTTGCTGTCACTTTGACACATTCCAAGTTTCCATTCCCTATTCTATTACTTTTTTTGTGACAAAGACAACTCTCAGGATTTATAAATGAAATGCTATTTTTTCACCAACTATTCAAACTGGAAAAGGATTTAAATATGTTATTTCCATTCCTTAATCTGTTTTACCGAAGCAGGAAATAATAAATAAATACACAAAAATCTCTGATGGACCAAATGTCCAACATATTTTCTAAGGAACCTGCACATCGTATTTCTCACATTGATGTGCTCAGCTGTAAAATCTTTCTATCTCAATCTTCTGGTAAGATGTAAAATACTTCAACTTGTACACATGAGGAAATGACCGACATGCACTTTGAACCCTGATAAGATAGATGTCCTCTACTTAGAAAGAGGAGCAGAACTACAGTTTAGCAGAACTGTTGTTTGAAGACCATATGAAAATGTGTTGATTATAGGAGAAATATGCCTGTCCTGAGTCAGGAGCCTGTAATTCAGGTGTTGCCATTTCTTACTAAATGTTATATTTGTTTTATATTTATTGTTTTGTACATAAATCAGGCCATTAATTTCTCTTTTGAATTGTTTTACATTTGTCATTTCTGGGCCTTTTATATCCTACTATGGGGTATGGGTTTTGCTCATTGCTGAAGGCTGTATGATGACCTATAGTTATTTTCTACTTCATTTGGTCTCTGGTGGAGAGTTGTCTCATTAGCAATCATACCACATCTTCTTATCTTTATATGATGTATGTAAAATTAAATGAAATTTCTGATACTGTAACCAGTATACCATTGGTTCTTGTACATATGTAACAGCCACTATGTTCCGTCAGTTACATTGTTCTGGTGGAACTTTTCAACTAGTTATTTCGTTCCGATGGAACTTTCCAACTAGTTGTTTTATTACGAGTGCAGTCAAAAAGTTCCGGAAAAAAGTAGCTAGTTGAAAAGTCCCGGAACAATGTAGCAAACGGAATAAGTTGCATTATCATGCAAATTTAGTATTCATAGTACCCTCAAGAGAGGGAAGAATACCCCCCTCCTCATGTGGGTACTTTTAAAAATATCAATTTCAGATTAATGTACTGTGAATTCATTATTATTCGTTGGATACAAATTTTCGTGGGTTTCGTGTGTACAGATGAACCACGAATTCAAATGTTCAACAAATGACAAATTTTCTATAGGCTTTGCATGCAGAGATTGTAAAAACCACGAAATCAAATATCCACGAAAATGCAAGTTTTCCATAATCCACGAAAATTGATACCCACGAAAATAAATGAATCCACAGTATAACAATAAATTAGAACTTATTCCGTTATGAAGGCAACATTATGACCGAATTAAGTACCATAATAATGAAGAGGGGGAAGAATGAGGATCAGTATATAAGACACTTTTGTTCCCCTTTGAAAAGGTTCAAAGATAATATGTTGCGCTTTTACTTTGCATCAATTCTCCAAATGGAACTTTGTGACTGGTTGATAAGTTCCATTGGAACTTTTGGGCTAGTTTGTTAGTTCCGGTTTTGACTTATTTGCCAAAGAGGAACTTTGTGGCTAGACCTAGTTGATAAGTTTCTTTTGACTTTTGTAATCAGTATCTTGGTTTCCCTTTGAAATGTTCAAATATAATATGTTGCGCTTTTACTTTGCATCACTTCTCCAAATGGAACTTTGTGACTGGTTGATAAGTTCCATTGGAACTTTTGGGCTAAATTGTTAGTTCCGGTTTTGACTAATTTGGCAAAAAGGAACTTTCTAACTAGTTGATATGTTCCGTTGGAACTTTTCAACTAGTCACTTTGTTCCGGTGGAACTTTTAAACCAGAGGAAGAACAAAGTAACTAGTTAATAAGTTCCTCCGTAACTTTTCGGCTAGTTAGTTCTTTCCTCCCGGAACTTTCCAACGTCGGAACAAAAGAGCATTTACACTTATACATCATTAAACTTAATTTAAATACATTTTCCCACTGGGAATACCCTGAATTAACCATATATGGATTTTAGCTGTTGTAAGCAATTAGGATGCTGTCCTATAGCACTACAACCTTGATATATGGTGCAAGCTATGATATTGTTTCACATATATCTCAACTATTTTATAATGTCTCATATCAATTTGGACTTACAATTCCATGATTCTGCAGTAGATCTATGTCCTGGAATAGTGATTCCTGAAAAGGTAAATAATTTTATTTTACATAATCATTCAGTTCAACAGACACTATTTCATTCTGAAAAAAAAAGGAAGAAAAAAATATTGATACTGTCTTCTAACATCTCCTAATTCTGTGAGCAAACAGGCTTATTACTATTAGTTCTTTAATATTTTGTGTGTCATTGGGTTGCTGCCTTATTGACACAATATATCTATTTATTCATATTCTATGTACATGTGCAATTAAATAATTTATCCAAAATCTAGAACTTTCTTGAAGGGAATGTAAATACAAATTTGAATTCTATTTAACCCCCCTCAGGATTTTGATAATGCAGTCAATGAACTATTGTCAGAATATTAATTCTCAAACTTGCAGATTTTTACAGTTAAACCAATAGAGTGTACTCCTTATGTAAAAACAATGTTTGTTCATTTGATAGGTAACATCACATTGGTGACACATATTGATCACTTCTGTCAGCTTGCGTCATCATTATCTGCATCTCATTTTATGTTATAAATCTGCATTGACTGCAACTCTTTGAAAAGGGCTCAACCGAATTCATCCAAACTTGCACAAACTCTTCTGTAAGACATGAGAAATTTTCAGCTTCTATCAATTTGTTGATCTTCAACTCCTTGAAAAAAATCTTCAACAGAATTCAAACAAAACATGCATTATGCTTCTTATACTGGTCATGAATTTGTGCATCTCAGGCTGCTATTTTAATTTTTGATCTGGGATTCTTATATCAAGATATACCAATACAGAATACTCCCATATGGTCAATACAAACTTTTCACATTTTGTCAGTTAATGGGCCCCTGGAGTGAAATTTTAAAGCTTATTCCCTAGCTGTTATATTTTGATATTTGTTTATTGTTACTATACTATATAATAAAATATTAATTTTCGCGAACCATTTAGGTCACAGAAATTCCAAAAAATGGCATCAGTAAGGAGAGTTGTACAAATGATGTGAATACACAGAACCCGGATCCAAATTATCTTTTACTAAAAGTAATCATCATTTTCTGTTTTGTATGTACTAACAACATTTCATTTTTCTACAATTTCGATTAAAATATTATAAAACCTGCAGTTCAATAGGTCACATGCCCCAAATAAACATTCCCCGATTGGTCGAACTACTGTGGCCTCGGTGTAAAGCAACGCAAGCCTCGATGTAAAGATCACGCTTCCAAAAATAGAGGTATGTCCCAACTTAACATTCCCCGATTGGTTGAATTGTTGCTCGATGTAAAGCAACGGAAGCCTTGATGCAATGAAGAAAAGGGGTTGACAGGATAAACGTAATCGTTATAAATTTTAACTTCATGGTTCTTATGCAGCAAATTTAATAAACAATGATTTTATACAGTTGTGTTATTGTTTTCACCTAAGTATAGGGCTTTATTTCTGTGTACACAATTCTGAATCTACATATTTCACCTATATCAATATTAGGTAATCCGTTTGGACGATTCCATATACTATTATGTTTTAGGTTTTTTTTAGCTTCAGTGTCGAGTTGGTGTATAGTATTGAGGGCTGTCTGCGAGAAATAAATCCTTTTTTCTGATAGATTAACTAAATTCAAAACCAATATCAAAATAGTTAACACATATATCTTATTTAACTGAGTAAATTGATCGGAATGTGAATGATACATAAACCTAAAATTCGTTTTGGTCTATCCCAGTGATGACATTTGCGCGGGAATTTAGTCCATTGACATCGTAATATAATTTACTTTGGATTATAATTATCTTTAGATGTAATGTTACAGGATTTAATGTGAAATTATTTGTCTCTTCTTTTATAGAGTTTGACGTCAGGTTTGTACACATGAAGTCTCTAGTCTAAAAAAAGCCAGTGACAGAACGATAAACAGATAAGCAACTGTCTAGGGGCAAGTAAGGGAGGTGAAAAAGCCAGTATTACGCAGAACGATAAACAGTTACATAGACGGATCCAGGGGGTGGGGAAAATTTGGTTGATTTTATAGGGAAGGAGGGGCGGATCAAGCCATTTTATAAAAGGGGGGTTCCCAACTCCGGACAAAAAGGGGGGGGGGGGGGGCGTGTGTTCCAACTATGTGTCCCCATTCAAATGCATTGATCGTCCAAAAAAGGGGGGTTCCAACCTTCGGAACCCTCCCTACGGATCCGCCACTGGGGAAGCATGACGGGAGTGGGCAACCGTTAGGTCAGTCAGCGGCCACCCCCTTTTTATGAAAAGTTGTGGATCCGCCACTGAGATTTATATAAGCAGGTTTTCTTTGTGTAGATGCCTTAAAATATCACCAACTGTGACTGAGTACACAATTTGATTCATTTTAGCTCATTAGCTGGTCTCACTGGCTAAAAAGGTTCATTGCGGGCCTGCTCACTGGCTAACATTTTACGATATTCATGACTATGACTTACGATATTATATGTAGAAAAGCCGATAATCTATACATGTGTGTGAGGAGTAGTTATCAAGCTTGCTTTCGTCTGTAAAAACTGTCTTAGGCCAAGTTAGGAAGGTGAAAAAGCCAGTAACAGAACGATAAACAGATGATCAGGTTTTCTTCATATAGATCCCTTAAAATATCCCCCACTGAGGACACAATTTGATTCATTTTAGCTCATTAGCTGTGCTCACTCGCCATAATAGGTTCATTGCGGCTTACTGGCTAATATGTGTAGAAAAGCTGATAACCTATACATACATGTACATGTATATGGTCAGATCATATGTTTTCGTACGTCATATGAATTTGTACTATGCATGCCTTTTCAATGGAAATTGTGACGACAGTATGCATTCTTAATAGCACGAAAAACGATGAGACGAGAATACATATGTCAACCAAAATTTTTCAGCAACGTCAAAATATGTGAGGACACCCTATCAAGATCTATCAAGCTTGCGTTCATGTTGCGTTAAAACTGTTTTAGGAAGGTGAAAAATACCAACAATATAACAATAAATAGATAATCGATATTGTAAAATATCAGTGTGTTGAAAAGCCAATGATCTACATATATACTTAAATATGTCAACCATAAAATAAAACTGATTTAATTTACACCACAACTGTTGAAAAAATCTTTATGTTTATATAACTTATCTCATTCTAGTCCATTCAACTGACAGAATCGGTGAACATTTCATGAACTCTTTAATAACAAGAATCATCATGGACTATTCTTTATTTTTTATAGCAATATCTGTTAGCCATTTAGGGGTCTTTTGCATTCAAAGTTTAGTTTTAGTGGGTTAATTTTGCGAAAAAGAACTCAATTTCCAGATCAAAGCTAACATTTTCTATATATTTTGCTGTGTCAAAATGACCTAATAAATATAAAGGACAGTACCCATATAGAACCAAAAATGGTATATCACATTCTACACATGACATTTTAGCAGGAAAGACTGCCATTGGAGTATATAACTTTTAACCTGTGTTTATATAATTAAAATATGATAATAAAATTCATCCAACATGTCTTTTTCAGGACTTCTGACCCAACCATGTAGTATGGCATGTTTGTGAGATATGGTTTTGGTGGATAGGATGTTCATGAAGGACCTGTAGTACAAAGTATATCACTGGATTGAGCTCTTTGTCTAAGTGTATTATTAAAGTGCTTTGCTTTGAGCTCAGTTCATTGTTATGCAATTTATTCTTTGTGAAATAAAGATTTGACAGACAACTCTCATGTACAAGGATTTGTCAGGGTAGTATCCATTCTATGTACAATGTAAGTAATAAGGAGATAAATTGAGCAGTTTATTATGATTTGAACCAAACATTTTTTGTCATTAACCAAATTTAAAAAAAAGAACAAATTTACCCGACAATGCTACACTCGCTACTAGCAATATGATGCTAGGTTGTTTTAATACATCTGTACTGCCTACTGATGACTCGGTCCTGAGTGTAAATGGTCATTCAGTATGTTAAAAAAAAAGACCCAAATTTATAAGGCCTATCTGGCCTAATTGATTTCTAAAACTATATTTCATTGTACATTTTCAACATTTTTCATTCATTTGTTTATTTCTGAATTTGTGTGAATTAACATTGTTAATGTAAATGTTAATTACTACACTTTCATACCACAACAAATACTGTATTGGTATCACTTATATTTGTATCCATATAACCAAAAAAATTGAAAAGAGAATAATTTTGCAATACCTTTTTCATATTGAATACTATAACTTTTTTGATATTTAGACATATTAAGTAGATTTTCATAATACCCATTTGACATGCTTGAAATTCTATCAGATTACTTTTGGAGCAGTTATGAGTCTTTGAATCATGCTCACAAAGGTTTTTTTGTTGATATCATTTTCATATTGGTCAAAACTTTTTTTTGCTTCGGCCAGCTTTGGAGGAGATGTTATCAAAGAATTGATAAAAAACAACACAGAAGTTTACTTTCTAGCTCATCTAGCCCCAAGCATCTTGTCAGGCATTGTCATTACTAAAAACCAATAAATGTCTTCCAATCTGAGAAACAATTTTGACATTTTAACAAAATATTTTACTAATGATACTGACAATCCACCACAAAGTAATATAAATAGAACCATACAAATAGTGAGGAAATACATATAAAAAAGATGTGGTATGATTGCCAATGAGACAATTCTCCACAACAGACCAAAATGACACAGAAATTAACAACTACTGGTCACCCTACAGCCTTCAACATTGAGCAAAGCCCATAACCCATAGTAATTTATGTTATTTATGTACACAAAATAAACAAAAAAACAAATATTATGTAACACATAGACAAACAACAACCACTGAATTACAGCCTCCTGATGTCATGTTCTCAGATATCATCTCCCATTTAAAAAAAAATCACATGAAAAAATGAACCTATTATGTGTTGCTCTCCTAGCTACAAAATGTATCCAAAATCAAAGATGTGGAAAATATTCTATCATAATCATTTGGTTATTAATGCAATTAGTGTCTCTTCCATGCCCGTCTTGAACATAAAATTTAAATATTAAATAAACAACACTCCTCATGCTCAGGTTGGTTGTCATCGTGCAACACAGTTAAAAACACCATATAGGAAAAACATAGAACTCCTTTTGTCATATAAAACACTGTCAAACATCCAAACATACTATCCACATTCATCTGTGTCCACACTTGTTATTCCTATAAAAAAGTAAATGAAGATCCTGGCCACGAGTAAATAATGCCAATCCCCTATGGTAAAACACATTTCAATGAGTTGCAACTTAATTCAACTAACCACCATACCTCTTCGTCATCTTCATTCACAACCTCTTCTTCAACAACCTGGTCTTCTTGCTGCATAATTTGCTCTGTAAAAATAAAGCCAAAGCTATTTTACTATAATATGGAAATAAAACTTTTCATGAGAATCAGTTGGTGTTGTTTAGAGTACTTAAATTCTTGGAAGGTGAACTGTCCAATTGAATGAACACGTACCAAACAGACATGTACACCTTTAATACAATCATTCCATACACCAAACAGTCTTCACATTCAACCACATGCTCATCACAGGCTGGTAAAAATGCTGTCTGGTAATGTGAAAGTCATCTCTACAGGTCAATAGAATCCAACTAAAATTTTCTTTAAATTCAGCTTTGGCCCTGTAGATTCAAAAGTTTAATCATGAAGACTGAGTCGAAATATAGCTGACCTATCATGCCTATTGCTTATAGTATTTGAAAAACAGACCAAAACACAAAAAAACTTAACATTCAGCAATGAACCATAAAAATGAGGTCAAGGTCAGATAAACCTGCCAGACTGACATGTATGTAAATGCTCTTTTGTTCTGACGTTGGAAAGTTCAGGGCGGAAAGAACTAACTAGCCAAAAAGTTCCGGAGGAACTTATTAACTAGTTACTTTGTTCTTCCTCTGGTTTAAAAATTCCACCGGAACAAAGTGACTAGTTGAAAAGTTCCAACGAAACATATCAACTAGTTAGAAAGTTCCTTTTTGCCAAATTAGTCAAAACCGGAACTATCAAACTAGCACAAAAGTTCCAACGGAACTTATCAACCAGGCAGAAAGTTCCATTTGGAGAAGTGATGCAAAGTAAAAGCGCAACATATTATATTTGAACATTTCAAAGGGAAACCAAGATACTGATTACAAAAGTCAAAAGGAACTTATCAACAAGCCACAAAGTTCCTCTTTGGCAAATAAGTCAAATCGGAACTAACAAACTAGCCCAAAAGTTCCAATGGAACTTATCAACCAGTCACACAAAGTTCCATTTGGAGAATTGATGCAAAGTAAAAGCTCAACATATTATCTTTGAACCTTTTCAAAGGGGAACAAAGATACTAGCCACAAAAGTCAAACGGAACTTATCAACTAGTCACAAAGTTCCTCTTTGTTAGGGTTAGGGTTAGGGTTAACTATTCAACTAGCTACATTGTTCCGGGACTTTTCAACTAGCTACTTTTTTCTGGAACTTTTCGACTGCACTCGGAATAAAACAACTTGTTGGAAAGTTCCATCGGAACGAAATAACTAGTTGAAAAGTTCCGCCGGAACAAAGTAACTGATGGATTTGATTTTTGGTGTTTTAACGCCACTTTTAAGCACCGCTTTTGGGCTATTTCGTGGCGGCCAGTTTTTATTGGTGGAGGATGCCGGAGTGCCCGGAGAAAACCACCGACCTTCGATAGGAAAACCTTACATTATCATTCCATACACCAAATATAGCTGACCCACTGCTTACAGTATCTGAGAAACAGACCTAATCATATTACTTTAACCTTGATCACTGATCCATGAAATGAGGTCAAGGTCAGGTGAACCCTGTCTGATGGACATGTTCACCTTGTAAGGAAACTATACATCAAATATAGTTATCCTGTTACTCATGATAATAAGTGAGAAATTTACTGAACAAAAAAAACTGAACTTTTTTTTTCAAGCAGTCGCTGAACCATGAAAATGAGGTCAAGGACAAAAGACATATGACAGACGAAAACTTTGTAACATAAGGCATCTGCATACGTTGTATGAAGCCTCCAGGTCTACTTACCTCTGAAATATAAAGCTTTAAATACAAATAGTTTACATACTTTTTCAAGTGATTCTGGTAAAATCCCAACAGATTAGAAGCAGGCTAATGTTGTGCCCATATTTTAAAAAGGTGACAAGCATAGCACTATTAATTATAAATCAGTTTCATTAACTGCAATATGTTGTAAAATTTTGGAACATATTTTAACAAGCAACATCCGAAAACATCTTACAAATAATAATATATTAAATGACAGTCAACATGGGTTTAGGAGTAACAGGTCTTGCGAGACCCAACTCATTATCAGTATACAAGATCTAGCAAAATCATTGGCAAATAGCAATCAAATAGATGTTAAACTTTTAGATTTTTCTAAAGCATTTGATAAAGTCCTCCATCAAAGATTAGCTCAAAAATTAGATTTTTACGGTATTAGGAATCAAAACTTAAATTTGATAACAGATTTTTTAGCTGACAGACAACAGCAGGTACTTTTAAATGGTGTTAAATCTTCTAAATTAGCTGTTGATGCTGGTGTTCCTCAGGGAACAGTATTAGGCCCAACATTATTTTTACTATTTATTAATGACTTACCAGAACATGTAACTTGCAATGCAAGACTTTTTGGTGATGACTGCTTATTGTATAGAAATGTAAATAATAATTCTGATGCACAATTACTTCAAAAAGATTTATCTAGTTTAGTGCAATGGGAACAGGACTCGCAAATGCATTTTAATCCTGAAAAATGTTATGTAATACATATTTCTAAAAAAATTTACCCTTCTGCTTTTGATTATACATTGCATAATCATGTTTTAGAATCAGTAAAAGACAGTACATATTTAGGTGTAACTATAAGCCATGATCTTGACTGTGGAACACATATAAATAATATAACATGCAAGGCAAATAAAACCCTAGGTTTTCTTCATAGAAATTTAAAAAACTGCACACGTAAGGTTAAAAACCTTACATACACATCACTTGTCCGTCCAGTTGTCGAATACTCTTCCCCTGTCTGGGATCCGTATAAAAAGCACCACATCACTCAGGTTAAGCAGATTCAGTGTAAAGCAGCCAGATTTGTCTATTCCGATTATAAAGACAGAATACCAGGAGCAGTTTCCAACATGATGAATTCTTTGCAATGGGAAAGTTTACATAATAATGATAATAGACGAAAAAAAGCTACCCGGTAGATTAACAATGCTATATAAAATTAATTGGGGGCTAATAGTTCCAAAGGACAATTTTATCAAAATCTGATAGACGTACTAGGGCCCTAAGGGGGCAACATAAATTTCGGCAAATAGCAACTTATATAAATAAAGACTTCTATAAATATTCTTTTTATCCGAACACCATCTCTGACTGGAATTCCCTACCTGAAGCAATAGGTATGTCTGACACCCTGGAATCCTTCAAAAGTGGCCTATCCACTCTAACATTTGAAGGACCCACATCAACTTATTAAACCACCAAAGCTACTGTACATAATCGATACTGTATATATTTTATCGATTTATTATATTTCTATTTTATTATATAGCAGTGAAGTTTGGGCTACTGTTAGTTTAGTGAAACAAATTAAATACTACCATCGAGTCAAACTATGCAAACTTTAGTCCAAATAAGATTCAAATCAAATTTGCTAAATTTTTATTGGGTGTAAATAATGGTGCTGTTAATATTGCCGTACTTTCTGAATTAGGTTTATTCCCACTTTCATTGTCAGCCTTAAAAATACAATTAATTTCTGGCTTCATATCATTAATATGAATAGTGAGAGTATGGTAAAGAAAGCATATACAGTGAAAACTTTAACATGTCTAATGGTTTTTGTAGTAAAATAAGAGTGTTATTAGGTAAACTTGGTTTTCAGCATGTTTGTGAAATTCAAAATACTATGTGAAAGACAAAATTACTTTTTTCATTTCAAAAGAAATTAGAGGAGGAATTCATAAAATCCTGAAAGCAAGCTCTTTTTTGTGACTCTAATAAAGATAGTCATGGTAATAAACTAAGAACGTATCGCAAAGTTATAAATAATTTCAAATTAGAAAAATATCTCCTACTGGACCTTAACAAAAGTGTTATTTCTAAAATGGTAAAAATTAGAATTAGCAATAGCAAATTACTGATAGAAGTTGGTAGATATACTAGAACGCCTTTAGAACAGAGAATTTGTCCACTTTGCAAGGATGGAATTGAAGATGAATTCCATTTCCTCATTAAATGTAAAGCGTTAGAATTTAATCATGTTAATAGAAATATACTCTTTTGTAATTTAAGTGATATAGTTCCATCTTTTGTTAATATGTCTGAACAAGATAAATTTAGTTTCATTTTGAAAAGTAACCAAGGATAAAGGGGGGGGGGGGTTTAAACTCTATGTCCCCATTCAAATGCATTGATCGTCAAAAAAAAGGGGGTTCCAACCCCCGGACCCCCCCCCCGGATCCGCCACTGTAGCTGGAATAAGCGATATATATGATTCGAACATTCATTTAAAGCAAACATAATGTTGTTAAGAACTGTTGTAGTATTAAAGCTTATTGTAATAGCTTGAATCAATAATATAGTATGAATAACACCTCCACGCAATGTAGATATAAAATATGTGTCTCTTATCATTGAGAAAATATGTCTCTGTATATTTGTTTTTGTTTATTTTTGTTTATTTTTGTCTATTTTTTTGTATTTGTAATTTGTAAATGTCAGCTGGTATCATTCCTGTATTGGAATTTACACCAATAAAATGATTTGATTTGATTTTGTATATGTTATTCTCTAGACTATTTAACTTTATTGTTTATAGAAATTTTATTTATTTAAGTCCAAAATTATTATGAACAAGTTCCAGGAAGTTGGACACTTCTACCTAGGAGTCTACTCACGACTCAAAGACTCACGATTTGGAAGAAGAAGAACAACAACAATAATATGTGTCTACGGTTTAATACTTTGCTTTATTATAACATTAGATTATTAAAACTTTTACAGACTTTGCCTTTGGTTTTGTTGATGAATTCTCTATTATGGTTAATAAGAAGTTAATATTGCTACATTGATATATATGTCAGTTAAAAGCTCATTAGAGCTTATGTTGTCTCTGTTTGTATACCTTGCCGACTCTAAATAAAGCTTATTGCGTAAACCCCTGAGGGTTACGCAGTATATATTGGACGATGTCCTTAGTCTTTCGGAACACCGGATGTTATTCGGAATACATCTGTTTCTTTCTATGGCCACCTTTCATATACATGCGCAATAGCTTATTATTTGACTTGTTGAATCATTAGCATCTTAAAGTTGCTATAGAGATATGTTACATATGATGCGAAATTCATTATGACGCAAGCTACTTTAATAAGCATTTGAATACTTCCTTGCACGCAATTACAAGCTGCTAATATTTACCTTACATATACGTGTAGTTATTCTAATTAGAGTCAAACGTTGAAACCAGCTGTGTGTGTAGATATGAGATAAGATTTCACGTAAACAATGCGATTTATATTCGAAACGAGATTTGTTAAAACTAAAATCTATAAAAGAAGTATTACTAGTATTTCACTTAAGATTCCGAGTCTAGGGAAAATGTACGTAATGTACGAAGCAGGCTATTTCATAATTTTCATACCTCAACTCCTTGTGGGACTAACTAAAGAACAATACTGAAATTAAAATGAAGTCTATCTTGCACTTTATTGAAATTTTACGTCTAGGATAGACCAAGGACGTATATAATCTAAATTGATATACGTCCTTGAATAGTTTTTATTTTCTTTAAAATTGCAATTTTCTTTGTTTAAATATTGCAACGTTATTTCCTTATCAAATGTCTATTAATTAATAGACACCGAGTGATGACAGATGCAGGCAGAGATAAGAAAAATTAATTTCTATTCATAGTTATATTGGTCAGGGAACAGATTATCTAACTATATGTTCGGCCTGTAGTAATTAATGCTCCTCAAAATGTTCGTCAAAATAAAAATAAATAATTATTATTTCATAAAGACGATCAGATGATGAATTTTCAGTTTTAATATATTAAGTACGAAAATGTAAAATAGTGTAAGAAGATTTTGAGCCTTCTCACTGATCAGTAGGCTACACAGTGCCCCCAAATGACCAGTATAAAACTATCCAGCAAGAGAGAAAAAGGATAGCCGGGTCAATGTAAGAAACCTACTAGGCAACTTCAGTTTAATTTCAATATCTCGATTATTCTACTGGATTTGTCAAATGTCAGGGAATATCTTTTTAAATGTGGTAGGAAGACAACTCTCCATCAAAACACAGTGTAGTCAAATTTAGCAATTATAGGTTATAATTCAGCCTTCAACACAAAAGCTTGGCTCACATTGGACAGCATCCTACTGAGAGCCCCAAAACACTGTTATAAAACAATTTAAACAGGAAAAAACAAACAGATCTAATTTAACTTCAAACCAGAAACAAAAAGCAAATATGAACTGCACCAAAAAAAAGACAACCACTAAACAACATGCTTCGGACTTGGGACATGTGCTTATGAATACACCTGGTTTAAAAGAATTTACATACATACCATAAGACAGTAGTGTAATTTTACCATGTAAAAGACACCCTTTAATATTTAATGAAAAAATCGTGTTCAGATAAAAAAAATCGTAACGGTTCTGCGGAACCCTGTGTCTCGCCTACTTTTGCTGTAAATCGCAGGCTCAACAAAAATGAGGAAAAACATCAATAAAAATATTCCTCTCAATACAATTTTTTTTTATTTTAACAAGCTTCTGTCCAAGTTTGGTAAAAATCCAGGATAGTTTATAAATCTAAAAAATTTAACTTCAGACTGTATGTAATGTTAACTGGAAGAAAAACTAAGTCCATTTATAAGTAAAATACAGATAAATAGGTACAAAATTTTAACAAAAAAAATTCCTTCTAGATACTAGCTTTTCATCATAAACAAGCTTCTGTCCAAGTTTGGTACAAATCCAGGATAGTATAAGAAAGTTATTAAAATTTAAAAAAAACTTTAACCTCGGAGTGAATGTATTGTATCCCAGCAGAAAACTAAGTCCATTTATAAGTAAAATACGGAAAAAATGGAATTTCATTTTTACAAAATTTACTTCTGGATACTATCTTATGATCATAAACAAGCATCTGTCCAAGTTTGGTACAAATCCAGGATAGTTTAAGAAAGTTATTAGAATTTTAAAAACTTTAACCACAGAGTGAATGTATTGTTTCCCAGCAGAAAAAACTAAGTCCATTTATAAGTAAAATACGGAAAAAATGGAATTTCATTTTTACAAAATTTACTTCTGGATACTATCTTATGATCATAAACAAGCATCTGTCCAAGTTTGGTACAAATCCAGGATAGTTTAAGAAAGTTATTAGAATTTTAAAAACTTTAACCACAGAGTGAATGTATTGTTTCCCAGCAGAAAAAACTAAGTCCATTTATAAGTAAAATACGGAAAAAATGGAATTTTTTTCTTACAAAATTTACTTCTGGATACTATCTTATGATCATAAACAAGCTTCTGTCCAAGTTTGGTACAAATCCAGAATAGTTTAAGAAAGTTATTAAAATTTCAAAAACTTTAACCACAGAGTGAATATTTGTGGACGCCACCGCCAACGGAATGTAGAATCGCTTTGTCTCGCTTTTTCGACTAAAGTCGAAGGCTCGACAAAAAGGAACACCTTACAACAGTTCATAAATGTGACCTTTAAACAAACTCATATTTAGGTGATGGGTATACTGATCAGTGGTAATTTCAGGTTTGACCATGTTAGTTTTTTTGTTGTTTTCAATTTTGTTTGTTTGTTTATAAGTACAAGGTGTAAGCTGTTTTGTCTAGGCTATAAATATCTTTTTTAATGAATTGGTTTCGGTCATCAAGGTGAAGAGGATACAGTGCGATTCAAATTGTATATATTTACAATTAAACTTGCAGGCCTTGACCCACAATTTAAAATATAAGAAAACATCAAAATAAAAAGGGACATCCGGAAAATATCTTCAAAGCAAGTAAAAAGGTTTTAAAAGTGTTTGTTTTTAACAAAAGAGGTTTGTCATCTAAAACTTTTAAGAGCATACACAAAGCACAGAACTTAAAATTGCCAATGCTTGCTACCCTAAGCATAAAAAAAACTTGCAGAGCAGGTGTAAGGATCTTAATAATGATCAATATCAAGCCATTGTTCAATAACCATGAACATATCTCAAATTCCAATAAAAACGGCTATTTTACAGGTTCACGTATTGCATTTCTTAAACACATATAATCATTAATTGATTAAATTTCTTCACATTTGCATTTGAACTTTAGCCTAAAAACTAACTCTAATTTAAAAACAAAAACCAGCATCTTAGAATGGAACATCAAGTGGGTGACTTAACATGATGTCTTTTGGGAGAGAGGAGAGAAAAAAATATTCCTTTAACAAGAATATTTCACCCCACATTGAACAGTATTTACTTTAAGTAAACAGTCACTGTCAGTTTCTAATTCTTACATAACAAAAATGATATAAAACAATAAATCTTTTTTAAAAACAATAATCTTATATCTAATGCCAAACAAGCACTTGGGTTTACGATTGCATTTCTTTTTTTAAAGAAAGCAACTTGTTTATTTATTATTATATATTATGTATAATCTGATCTCCAGTGACAATGTTGGTACTGCAAAGTTCTTTATTACTCTACTCAATAAATTAATGCATTTTTTGATAGAATTGACAATTGTACAACACTACTGACTAATGAATTTTACAATAATTCTAATTCTTCAAAGTGGGGGTATGAAAAGACAAAAGTTCAAAAACAAATTGAAGGGCAAAAATAAAAAATAGAAATCGTCTGAAAGTTTAAATATGATTGATTTTACAGCTGATCTCGACTTTATCATGAGCATTTTTGCTCACTCACCTGGGTCTGAGATTCCTATGCAAATCGATTTATGAACACGATACTGAGCTCAAACATTCAGCTTGACAAAGACTTGAGTTTGGGGCAAACTGAAACAATTATACACTTTCAGACATGGATCTTTTTTCAACCGGTTACCAACTTGCAGTTTCTGCTACAAAACTTGTCGTCTGCTAACACGTGCGAGTTCATCGACATCATGAAAATGTTTGATTTCAAGTCCTTAACATAAAACACTTTGAATACGTAGATTGTTGAATTAAACATCCGTTTTTCAAATCGAGGCATAAACGAAAACATAACCACGAGGACCCAGTGAAGCTTTCAGCCGAGGGAATATTTTGTACTACAATCATGGTAAAACACTTATCAAAAATAGCATTTCTGATACAAACTAAATATACTTTAATCGAAATTTAACTTGTCATGGGAAACACCAACCCCAATGCTCATTGAAACCATGAAACAATGATTTGTAAAAAAGGGGGGTTGGACGTAAACTTTCCCTGAGGCTGAGAGAAGCGTCAATGGGCTATTCCAGAAATAGTCTGTCCCCCCCCTATGGAAGACATTGGAATTCCAGATTTTTTATTCTTGATTTTTTCTAAAATTCCAAACAAATTCTCTGTCTGGACCAAAAAATTCCAAACTTTTTGTCTGTTAGTGCACATGAAATTCCATGTATTTTCTAAAGGGACGAATAATTTCCGTACAATTTTTACTGGTAGTCATTAAGATTTTCCAGAACAGAAATATTTTGTGACCAATAATTTCCAGGTTTAAAACACAAGAGTTCTGATTAATTCCCTATGTATATGTACATTTCTGGGGAGGGGGACAACAGTCTGATACAGCGATAGTAGTTTAGAGAGCAGGATAAATGATATTGATACTGTGGAATTTCATTTTGTAGGTTGCACTTTGTAAATACAGCTGTTTCACAGACTATGCCTCTTTTGGGGTATACATTTGTATATCATATTCATAGATATTTTGTTTTGTATATGTACTTGTTCCCAGATATGATCTAGATATGTTTTATCTCTGACATAGAGACATAACTTGGGAATGTTACCAGAATAGGTAGATATTTATAGGTAGCGGCCAACTTGAATTCTGAGGAAGACCCAAAATGAAGGGAAAGGGGGGAGCAGTACAGAATTTTATTAGTAAATGTTCAAACTCTTAGAAGTTCTGGGCATGTTAATGTTGAAAATATGCCGCAGATCCCTATGGTTAGACTTTTGAATAAAATAGTTGTGCTTATCAACAACTTTCCATTCTAGGATTTAATTTTTGTTACAAAACTTCATAGTGAAAGTGGCACAGTTTGAGCTGTAAAGGGGGTTCCTATGGGAAATTACATTGTCTTTATTTACAGATGCGCAACCTACGATTTTTATCTTGAATTGTTAACTGTTGAATGTTAATCAGGTGCAAATTTCAAAATGATTGGATTAATAGCATCTATGATTAGCATCACTCAGTGGAAAATTATATCACATGGGAAGATAAAAACAAAGAAAATTTGTTTTGACAAATATTTGATGCCTTAATGACCTTTTTAAACACATCAAAAATAAATACTGACATCTGATTAGTTTCAGACTTATGATGGTCAAGTAGATGATAATTTCAACCTAATTATATATTTAGAATTTAATCTGTATTTTTCACCATTAATTAACACCAATAAATTGTGCAATTCGATATCTCCTAAATTTTAGAATGAAATTTAGGGTTTGTCCTATATCATTATAAACAAATGTGATTTTGGGTTACTTCAAGCTAAATAGCCAGAACATTTACCAATCTATATAAACAGCTAAGTGATACATCCTTTATTCAAACACACTTGTTTGTCTTCACAGCAGGAAATTGTCTAATTACCACAATATTGTAGAAGACTGACCAGATTGAGAAATGACCAGCTGTGTACTATGACTCTACTATGGATTGCAAAATACTGTTACACATAAATAGATTCATTTAGATTGTTATCAGAATCAGTGGCAAACTGTCTACTGACTTTTGAATTTACACACAGAAGATCCCCCCCCTTTTTTTTAAATTAATGCAAGGCAATGAGAACTTTTATAAATTGATTATTTGTGTTTAGTTTTTTATTTTCATATGAAATTAAGCATATAATTTACTAAGATAAGAAAAATAAATATAATAAGAAATGACTGATGTTTGAAGAATTAACCTATTTTCAAAAATATTTTTATTGTGTACTGGAATGAAACTTTAAATGATATTGAATGCAATGTTCTCCTACCAATTGAATAATCTGAAAATGTATTCTCTTAACAATGATGTCTAAAATTTGACATGAGTTTTGAAATCTAAAAAGTTTATAAAAATTCATTACACAAAAAAACTGACATTCTTAAGTCATCCTGTTTTACAATTTACTATTTGTCAAGCCTGCAACTAGAGTTCCCCAAGCTAGACATAGCAACCCTTCTCTCTAGTGTCATCAACATTTAAAGGAGTAGGTCCGGTAAGGGCCAATTTTGGCCTCAAATTTCAGGTACATCTGATGAAAGATTTTGGGCACTTTTTAAACACATAAGTGTCTTCTTCAGTCGATTCAATTAGTTGATGTGAAAGATTTCAACTGGTTAAGTCATTAAAGACGGCAAAATTCAAGCTTATATATATGAAAAATCTATCAAATATGCCATAAAATGTCACTTTTCAGATGTTTTTGTCGAAAATGAAAGTGGCCGCATTCGTGTTCATTCTCAACCCTTTATATATGTTATGTATTATCATCAAATACAACATACATCTAAATTTTGAGACTGAACACAAATGCGGCCACTTCCATTTTAGACGGAAACCGTCTAAAAATTAGCTCAAATTGTAAAATTGTGAAGATTGCAGTAATTTTGCATGATTTAACGATGCTAGTACCCGATACATGTGCATTGTATTGTAAAAAAAAAAGCCCATACTTATGTAGCAGAAGTATTCTTAGCTTTTCAGTAAATAGCTGAAAGTTTACATTTTAACAATTTTGTAAAACTGCTATATTTTGGGGCCAACAAGGGGTCTTACTGGGCCTTCTCCTTTGTTTTGGGTTAATTTCTTTTTTATTTTAAGTCAATAGCTTTGTTAAATATTCATGGAATTTTGCTTAACTGACAGACGCTTCTTCTATACAAAGACAGCATCCAGAGATTATTATTCTTTTTTCAATATTTCACTGATATAATGGACTAAGTTTTGTTTGCACTAACATATATTGTTTACAAAACTTTGAAATTTTCAAAAAACTAAGGATTTTTTATTACAGGGATAGATTACCTTAGCTCTCTTTGGAATTTTGGGTCCCCAATGCTCTTCAACCTCATAATTTATTAGGCCTTTTATTAAACCTTTTGGATTCGAGCATCACTGTTGAGTCTTTTGTAGATAAAACCCTAGTCTGGTGTTCACAATTTAAGCCTGGTATCAATAATGTGGTTTTTTAGACTTCAAAATAACTTTGTCAAAGCATTATGGAATGATTGATATATTGATTGAATGATTGGTGTTGATGCCACTTCAGCACTATTGTGCTATTTTGTGGCGGTCAGTTTTTATTGGGTGGAGGAAGCCATAGAGAACCATGATATTCGGTAGGTCTCTGCCTTATAGAGCTAGCACTAATCTAATAAGCAACATTTTAATTCAAAAAGACACAATTTTTTAGTTGACAAGATAAATTAAGAGTACAAATTAAACATCCAAGTATCATTTTCTGTGATTAGGGATAATTTCATAGAATTTGATCCAATATCCACACATTTTGGTGCAAATCATATCTCTGGCCTTTCATGGATACTGTGCTATGTAGCAATGTTTTGTTTTTTTCCGGAATTGTATTTATAATTAAAGGGAAACCTTCATCAGAGACCACCCCTTTTGTTTTTGTTTTTCATTTATTTCTTTTTTATTACTGTTTAAAGATTAAAAAAAAAATTTAATATCTTTTTTTATTTATTATTATGGTAATTTTACCATGCCCATTTTATATAAATTTTATTGTTTATCAGTAAATTTCATAGTATAGTTTTATATGCAATATTTTTAAAATCTGTTTGTTTTACGATTTTATAACATAGGGTTTATTGTTAATTATACTTATATATGTGATTGGATAAATGTTGTAAAGCGCTTAGGGTAATTTTAATATTATATAAATCGCTGTTATAAATACTGTATAATTTAATGTTGAATTAAGTGTTTCATGGTAAGAATTTTGTCTGAAGAATATCAGTTTACTTGTGTGGTTTACATGATGATGGTCATTAATTAGTTCTGCACAGAGTGAAATATTTTGTAGGAACTGTGATGTTCATACAAATAATTTTATAGCTCATTTCACTAATTCACCAATGTTCTATTTCTTTTGAATCCTATTGATAGGTTTTTATGGGATCTGGCACCTATTGTAGAATCTGTTTTAAAAAGATGCCAGTATTTCCTGAATACTTTTTGAAGTTTTTCTGCTTGAGAATGATAATATGTAATGAATGATACATTACATCTATTTCAACTTTGTTCTTTTTCTTTAAAAACTGGGTGGTTTGAGTTTTTATGAAGATATTGAAATTTTTCATGAAGATATTGAAATTTTTCAGTATTCTTTCAAAAGCATTTCATATCTAAAACACCAGTATTTTTCAAAGCGTTCATCTTTGAAGATTTATGGAATGATTATTGCATTCTTAAGTAAACTTTAGCAATAATTAGCATTTCAAACAGGAAATCCAATTTCAATTACTATTTATTTAGTGGTAGGGATGAGCTGCTAAAAAGGTCACCATGGTCACTATTTCAAGCTTCATTATATATGATCAAATCTGGAAATTAAGATGAAGGTCAAGTTTTCAACTTGCTATTTATATCACAAGTATATGAAACTTATCAGATGTCAGAATCTTTTGATGTGATAAAAACAACAGTTGTAAATGTATCCAATAGAGGTCAAATCAATTATCTATCTATTAATTTTCCCATATGCATTCTTACCAGCTATTAACTTGCTGTTTGTGCTTTTAATCCCATTGTTTAGACATTTTTACCTAATTAACATTAAAAATATGTAATAATGAAGAACTACAAATTTTTAATTTTACACTTTGAGAGTGTTGACCATAAGAGAAATAGGTTTAACAACTTGAGAAAATTGGATATCGCTTGATATCAACTCTTGTTATTTAATTTAATTACTAATAATAAACTCGCCACAGGCTAATTTATTATTATATTGAAATTAAATAACTCCAGTTGAAATCAAGCGATATAATTTCAATTCTCACTTGTTATATGAAACCTATAAGTACAGCCTTCAACATGGAGCCTAGGCTCACACATCATAGTAAGCTAGAATGGGCCTGAAAATGACCAGTGTGAAACAATACAGACGAGAAAAACTAATGGCCAAATTGATATACAAAACAATAAATGAAAAACAAATATGAAATACAGTAATAAGCGACAAAACCACTTAAATTACAGGCTTCAGACTTGGGACAGATATATATATATAGAAAATATATGCAGCGAGGTTAAAAAAACGTATGTGCTGGATCCAAATTCTATTGGGATAGTGGTGTATTTGTCTGCAATGACAAGACTTCATGTACACTGGTAAACATATTGGCTAACAATTCTTCTAGTCAGGGATTTGTTTGCGCTTAACTTTTAAACACACTTCTTTTGGTTACGGCTGCATACATATGTATATGTTACTTACTAAGAAAAAAATTCCAGTTTTTTTGGCACATTTAGAAAAAAAAACAGATAAATTCCAGACAGAAGAAATAAAATCGATGTCTTCCATAGGTATTGCTTCTAATCTTTACACTAAAATTTCCAGACAAATTGACAGCATCATGAAAAAAATTCCAGTATATTTAAGTTTTATATTGCGTTTAAAATCTGGAATTCCAGAAAATTTTGGTAATGGTGAAAAATATTTCCATGGATTTTTTTTTTTACATCTTATGTCTTCCATAGGGGGGGGACAGAATATTTCTGGAATAGCCCAATAGAAAGAATATGAAATATATATTTCTCGGCTATAATTCACAAAATCTGACATTTTAATATGATGAGAAAGAATTTTACTTAACATGTGTTATTCATTTTAATTTTCGCATGTTTAGTAATTATGATAAGTTGAATGATTAGTAGTACTACTACTAGTATAGTACATTTTTTGTACATGTGAAAATTATAAGGCTTCAAATGTACTATACTACTACTCCTTCTTAAAAAAAATAACAGCCAATTGATATACAAATGTACAGGTAAAACATGTTGAAATTGTATATAGAAAATAATCCTAAATAAAAAGAAAATACATACTATTGCCTGTAGAGTTTATCATAAGACCAGATCTACATGTAGCTTTAATAATGACACGGGGGGGGGGGGGGTCTCAACATTGGATTTTGGGTACAGTTGTGCAGCTGGGATTTAAAAAACACCCCCATTCATATATTGAATAATTGTGAAATCCCTACCTATACATATATTTCACAATGAAATCATAACCCATTCATATATTTATCAGCTTAAATATTACCTAAATATATCACAATTGGTCAATTACTACCTATTGATATATTTCCTCGGTAAAATTGCACCCCATTGATATATCTGACGTATCAAAAAAGGGACCCATTCCAGCGGCACACATGTATATACCTTCATATAGGAAGAGACCCCCCGTGAATAATGACTTTTTTTTATGTCAATAATTTAATGAAGGCCCTACAAATTCAAGTGCTAAAGATTTAAGAAATTGATGAATTCAGTATCTTTCTGCCAGACATGGCAAATCTCTGATACTTACAAATGTAATGTTTATATAGGTAAATATATGTTTGATTTTCAGACTGAAGAAGTAAATCCTAAAGCTTACCCATTAGCTGACCCTAACTTGACACAGAAAATATTAGACTTGGTTCAGAAAGCAGCCAGCTGTAAAGAATTAAGGAAAGGAGCCAATGAAGGTATTAAACAAAGATTAAAGCCTACAAACAGATGTCACGCTTGAACAAAGACCCACCCGCCTAGGCTTTTGAAATTCTAATACAGGCCAATAGAAACTTAACAAAATATTCCAATTAGCATAGGGCATGTGGCTGCAAAAGTTCATCGTGAAGACTGAACAGGATAAAAAAAAAAATCCAGCTCCGTCTGTCCATCCCATTTTGGTTTCCGCACTCTTAACTTAAATTTGCTTCATGATATTTTTATGAAACTCGTACACAATGCTCAGAACAAAAATTGCCACAGATTTTGAATTTGGTTAAACTAGAGTTATGCCCCTTTATAACTTAAAAAATACAAATTTTTACGTTATCGCACTCTTGCTCAAGTTTTCCTGATGGAAATTTAATGAAACTCCTACACAAAGCTTAAAACCAAAACTGCCTGACAGACTTTGAATTTGGGCAATAGATGGCTTAACGTTCTAGAGTTACATGTATGCCCTTTTTAACCTATAAAATTGCAAAGCTTGAGAGGGGGAAGTTGTGTCCTTAGACTTCTTTTATTTTCATTTCTCAAAAACTCTCTGTCCCCCCACCAACAGTGAATTTTAGATTTCAAATTGTTAAAATTCTAACGTGGTTCTGACCTTCCAATATGAAATCAGTATGTTTGTGTTTATAACAACTTCCACAATGATATTTTTGAACTTTTAGTTACAAATGAATAATGTAGAAATTGAATTGCAAAACATTTACCAGTCTTTTTCAGTGCAATATAAACATATATGCATTTGATTTATAGGATGAATGATATTACATGTAGCATTGATTTTTTCAGCAGCATTAATTTTCAACTAATCTTGGTATTCTTTCTCTTTAGTTAAGTAATTTCATGTAAGGACATTTATCGGTTTGTCAAATGGTGATATTACATAAACAATAGTTCATAAGATGTAATTCTATACACATGTCATTATTTACTAGAACATTCATCTTTTATTCATACATGTAATTGCAACTTGAAAAATTTACATGTACCAGTATTAGGACAATAATGGAAAGAATAAAAAAATCTTCATTATTTTTTTTCAAACTTTTTAATTTGGTAAACTAACTTGTAAAAGCTTTCTTGCTGAGTTGGTTTAAATGTATTATATTTGTTAACAGCTACAAAGACATTAAACAGAGGAATATCAGAGTTTATTGTGATGGCTGCAGATGCTGAACCTTTGGAGATTTTGTTACATCTTCCTTTACTGTGTGAAGACAAGGTAATGTATACAAAAAAACTGGTATCTTCAAGCAAAATTAATACTTTCACAATAAAAACATGAACAAAATTCAAGTGAATTTGTTATCAATCTCAACTAGATCATTTGGTTGTTACAGGAATTAACAGTGTACATTGTCATGACAACAATCAAGTTTTGATTTGATTTTTGGTGTTTTAACGCCACTTTTAAGCACCGCTTTTGGGCTATTTCTTGGCGGCCAGTTTTTATTGGTGGAGGAAGACGGAGTGTCTGGAGAAAACCACCGACCTTCCATAGGAAAACTGACAATCCTAGTCAATTAAGATTGGAGTCGAGTGCACCTGCACAAGCGGGGTTCGAACTCACAACCTCAGTGTTGACTGGCTAGTGATTACAGTAGTAACTACTTAGACCACTCTGCCACCGAGGCCCCTATCAAGTTTTGAAGGTGCCGTTCTTACAATTTGCGTAAATTTTTCTCAGTTAAATGTAATGCCTTCTTTTATAACAATTTTCAACAGATTAAGAATAACTTATGGATATCAATTATTTTCATTGTTTAAATGAACTATCAGTTTAATTTCATTAGATTATTTTTTTGTGTTTCAGAATGTACCGTATGTGTTCATAAGGTCCAAACAAGGTATGTATATACGACAAACAAAATCATTCAGTTAAAAATTATGTATGGGGATAATATTTCAAAGTTAATGATGCAGTTTATGGATTATTCCCTCCGACATATATTTAAATATAAAAATAAGAAGATGTGGTATATATGCCAATGAGACAACTCTCCACCAGAGACCAAATGACATAGAAGTTAACTATAGATCACTGTACGGCCTTCATCAATTAGTGAAACCCATACTGCATAGTCAGCTTGTATATATTCAATAGTGATTATTTTAGTGAGAGAGATTCACAATGTGATATCTCTGTATATTACATAGGTATTATTAGATAGCAATCACTCTAAACTCTTGTCATGGATGTTAATACAGTACACAGAAAGGAGATTAAGTGAAAAATCACTCTCGTTGGTGATATTAACAGTGAACTCTGGTGAAAATGGATGATCAACTATGAAATAGTTCTGTGTATTCAATAAATAATATATGACAGGGTTGTAAATCAAACTTATCATTCTGAATTACCAGTAATCACCCTGATTCACTATTCACAGCTAAGGTGATTTTGTAAATATTGTAGTATGTTCCCCTATCTGTTAAGGATACAATGATGTGAAAATGGTTGATATTTGTTTAATTAAACAGTTTATAACCTTATATTTCAGCATTGGGAAGAGCCTGTGGAGTATCAAGACCTGTTATCTCCTGTTCTGTCACAGTCAATGAAGGATCTAACTTAAGACCACAGATCCAGACTATCCAACTGGCCATTGAGAAGCTTCTCATATAGATATGTTGTCTGGTGGAAAGAAGGGAAACACATTTTCTATATGATTATGAACACTACCTAAATAAGGAAACTTATTTTTTATGACCTTTATCTTCTGGATGTCCCAGATAAGCAACAGAGTCAATTTATATATTCAAATCATGATGTTGATTAAATATAAAGTAACTGAGTTATCTCCCATTGTTCATATAAAACTACTGAGTTGTCAAACGTTTGTACTCAAACTCTTCACAATTTATCAAATCTCAAAGGAAGCAGTGTTCAATTTCATTCATTCTAATCATTTTCATATTTTATCATTTTATAGTGTACTCTTTTACTTCAGTGTACACAAATTTTGTTATAGGAAACATTGTTAAGGTTTTGTAAAAATAAAATGTCATAATCATATACTGTGTTTTTCTAAAAAGCATTATGTTTTACCATTATCCTTCCTCGTGTATATAGGTCACTAAATTGGTGTTCAATGACTAATAGCTAATCTTGACTAAATCATTTCAAATTAGAAATGTTTGAAGGGCTACTTTACACAGATGTATTTCGAACTTGGCATTTTTTCACAGTTGACATTCTAGTATATACCCCTTGATAAAGTTATGCAAAGAAATAACCAAGTTTACGATTCTGCTCAAAAATTAAAAAGTGTTTTCTGATGAAATGATTTGAAATTTTGATACTATGTCTAATACTCCAAACAAAAGTAGGGTTCTGATTTGGCACATTGCAAATTATATCCCTTGATAATGAGGAAAATAGCCAAATGTAAGGTGTGTACCACAAGTAAGGTGTGTACCCAAAGAGTTGGGCTTGATTTCTCTTAAAACTTCATATTTCATTTGGCTTTTTTTAACACCTGATTCAAGTTCACTTATGAGTCTTTTGTAAACGAAACATTTGTCTACCAACATTAAATCTTGGCATCTATGATGAGTTAATTGTATATAATATACAAATGCTATCAATACATCAAACAGAAATGCTATTGCTGTCCACACATAAAAGGACAACAATGCATTTTGCTGACCATACATCAAACAGCAATGCTATTGCTGTCTACACATAAAAGGACAACAATGTATTTTGCTGACCATACATCAAACAGCAATGCTATTGCTGTCTACACATAAGAGGACAACAATGCATTTTGCTGACCATTAGAGGACAACAATGTATTTTGCTGACCATACATCAAACAGCAATGCTACACATAAGAGGACAACAATGCATTTTGCTGACCATATACCAAACAGCAATGCTATTGCTGTCCACACATAAAAGGACAACAATGCATTTTGCTGGCCATACATCAAACAGCAATGCTATTGCTGTCCACACATAAAAGGACAACAATGCATTTTGCTGGCCATACACCAAACAGTAATGCTATTGCTGTCCACACATAAAAGGACAACAATGCATTTTGCTGACCATACACCAAACAGCAATGCTATTGCTGTCCACACATAAAAGGACAACTATGCATTTTGCTGGCCATACACCAAACAGCAATGCTATTGCTGTCCACACATAAAAGGACAACAATGCATTTTGCTGACCATATACCAAACACCAATGCTTTTTCTGATCACACATAAAAGGACAACAGCCCTCAATCTTCAGTGAAAAAATATGTCAATTACAGTCAAGATATAAACAAATGCAACCATTTACCAATAAGATGTGTGCACCTAAGGAAAATTTAGACTTGCTGAAAAGTTGTTTAGGGGCAGAAATTTCACCCTGCAATAGGTCAGCTTTGAATCTTAACAAGACTAAGAGAAAAGGGTTTCCAAGTTTTTGTCTCCTGAAAGACATAGGAATGCTTAACTGGTTGTAACAGTGTAAACTCTTTTTATAAAGCTTTATATATCAGAAGGTTTACAACCTAGATACTTCATATCTTATATATACAAATCTATATTAACTTTCTTATGTTCATGGTTTTTGACCTCATTTTCATAGTTCAGTATACAAATAAGGCGATGTGGTATGATTGCCAATGAGACAACTATCCACGAAAGTTAAAATGAAGTGGATGTAAGCAATTATAGGCAACCATACAGCCTTCAACAATGAGAAAAACCCATACCATATAGTCGGCTATAAAAGGTCCCGACATGAAAAATATGAAACAATTCAATTTAGAAAACTAACGGCCTAATTATAACAAAACAATTAACGAAAAACAAATATGACAGACATTAACCAACGAAAACCAACTGAACTACAGGCACATAATGTGGAGGGGTTAAGCATGTTTTTGAGCGCTCAACCCCCCCCCTAACCTGGGACAGTGGTGTAACTTATATAAAAACTTAAAAAACAACAGCAATATTGCTGTCCATACAAACAAAAGGACAACTGCGACATTGCAGTCCATACCTTTAAAGAGAGCAGCACTATTATGTCCATACAAACAAAAAGACAACAGTGAAATTGTTGTCCATACCTTAAAAGACAACTGCACTATTGCTGTCCATACAAACAAAAGGACAACAGCGCTATTGCTGTCTATACAAATAAAAGGACCACTATGCTATTGTTGTCTATACAAAATAAAAGGACAAACGCGCTATTGCTGTTCATACAAAACAAAAGGACACGCGCTATAATTGCTGTCCATACATAAAAGTACAACAGTGCTGTTGCTGTAGATACATTAAAGAAGACACTTTCTATTATTGTCTATACATAAAAGGATAGCAGCTCAAACTACAAAATTACACTGGAGTTCCGAATGGTGAATACTGGCTTAAAAATATTCCGACAACAATTTCAATATGCACACCAAGGGCGTACCATGCGCGCGCTTTTGGCGCAGTTGCTTATTTAACCTTGCATCAGGTCCATTTCTGACATTTTCAAGGGATAATCAAGTACTATTTTATCGTAATATGTGACCCGCCGTGACATTTCCAGGTTTATGGGGGTATAACGTCAATTTGAGAAAAACATTTACTTTCAAGTGTAATTCTGTATGGGGACATACAATAGATATAAGAAGATGTTGTATGAGTGCCAATGAGACAACTCTCCATCCAAGTCACAATTTGTAAAAGTAAACCTTTATAGGTCAAAGTACGGCCTTCAACACGGAGCCTTGGCTCACACCGAACAGCAAGCTATAAAGGGTCCAAAAATGACTAGTGTAAACCATTCAAACAGGCAAACCAACGGTCTAATCTATATTAAAAACGAGAAACGAGAAACACTTATGAATCACATCAACAAACGAGAAACGAGAAGCACTTATGAATCACATCAACAAACGACAACCACTGAACATCAGGTTCTATTATCTAAATTATCTAAAGTCTATTTCTATGACAAATTTAGGACGTGGATAATTAGTTAAAATACTTGGTACTTATTGATTTATATGAGCAATATTTTATTTTTTACCACATATATAATACATTTACAGTGATTTTCAAAATAAAAGAAAGATCACTTATTATAGTATGAAGGACACTCAAACTGGTCAAAAATAGCAACCAAATGTCAACGTGGAGTACGGCATATCAAATGTTCACTGTATAAAACTAACTGCAAAATACAACTGCTCTCCTTACTTATACTGGTCTTACACATAAATGGTTGAACATTAGAAATAACTATTAATTAAGAAGTATTTGTACATCTAATTTCACCAGGTTTGTACAATTGATTAAATAACTATTGTAACTGTTTTTCACGAAGATATATATATATATATATATATATACACATAAAACTTTTTAATAATTATCTAAAGTAATCTAAAATTGAACAATTATTTCAATTTGATACATTTTGGACAAATCTTTAGAAATTTACAGTATACATGTTCTTTTCAATTTTGAAAGATCATCAAAGTAGAGAACGCATAATGAAATATCATTTTGTAAAATTATAAGTTCAATATATTGCCACTGATTTACGTATATAATAAAATAAATGACTGCCTATAAATGCCAGTGACAAATGTCACTTGAATATTTAATATCAAATCGTTGATCATAATGGAAGAAACACCAGTATAGAAACAAAATTGGGAATAATTTAGTATTATGGAATTATTGGTATTTAATAAATGTTAATACGAAAAATATGATGTACAATGTACAATATACAAAAGAAGAGAATACGAAAAAAAGACGCTAAATTATACCCGTTTTTGAGACAGATTTAAAAACGAAAAATATGCAGAATGAATAAACCAGACTTTGTACTGTTGAATATTATTAATTAGCATGTTTTAGCAAAACACAATCAATCGTATATGTTGAATTGCCTGGATTGGATGAGAAAGAACACAGATATCAGTTGATTCGTAACAGACTTTTTTACGAGAAAAAAAGGTTTCAAATTGAATAAACCGTTGAATTAAGTTTTATGAGTAAAAAATGATAACGTCGTATTATATGTCTAATTTGAATAGTTTGCTAAAAAAAAAAATTAGGTACTTTTTTGTTCTTCAATTTCTTCCTTTTTGTAAAATATGTAAACATCATCTTGACTTTTTTCTTTTTTTTTTAATTATGTCGCAACATGTGATATAAAAACGATATCTTCCCTATTGCAAGTACGTAGTCTTATTAATTGATTTTCCAATTTAATAAAATCATGCTAAATATACAGAGGTCGATAGAGACATAAATTTCCTGAACGTCTTTGAGCTGAAAAATTTCACTCTGCATGATTTTAGATCCTTATGTAAAAGACATTAATAGAAGGAATTATAAAAATGCAAACAAATTCTTCTTCATTATTCAGATTTAATCTAAATACACATGTAGTAGTTCCAGTACTTAAAAGAAAATATCACTTCTATAAAGGAGGGGGAATGGGATGTTTCTTTCACATGGAATATTTAAAATCATTTTGGAGGATATTCAAATAATACAATTTTTTATATCTTCTGGAAGGCACTGACCCTTCATCTTTTTTTTATTAAATATATAATAATAATCTTTATTGTCACATGAACAAATTAAACATGTTTCAGTGTGACAAAAACATATAAGCGTATATAAGATACGATACAAATTACAACATATATACAACAAATCTTATAACAATCAGTTAATCAAGAGTCCCTTATCCTCAGTTCCATTAGAATGTATTTGTTAAAAAATATATATAGTTAGGCCTTTATATAAAAACACGAGATTGATTTAAAATTTACCATTCTATTGAGTAAAAACAATAGTTTTTTTTTTATTAAAGTTGCAAAAAATGTTCGTCCCGAAAAAAAAAATCCTTAAAAATACGGCCTCACATATATCCATATGATTGTTTATTTTTCATTTGCCACACGTGCCCGATAACGCAGGAAAGATGCGAGGGATGGAGAAGTAATCAGATCATATTCTCTCCATCACTCTAAACTAAGTACGCACATCCGGGATCTTCATTTGGGGTAATTGACCCACTTTTCGACAAAAAGTAGCAGACGAATAAAGTTGTTTTGTGAAAGTTTTTAAAACATGTCCGAGGACCAACCCGTCTTCGTCCAACTTAGAAGAAAGGATCCTTCCGTACAGTGGGGATTTCGTATGAATGGCGGAAGAGATCAAGGATCTATATTATATATTCAGAAGGTAAGTTTAATGATTATGATTATTTGCACTAAACATATATGTGAAGGTTGCAGTGAGGCTGCATTCATTTGATTACAATAGTATCTTATCTTGTAAATACAGATGGTGATCTGTGTAGGAGGAGGTATTAAATTAAAGCTATATTTTACAGGAAAAATGCTAAAAATCATTATGATTTGACATTTTTGCACATTATTATACTAAAATATTTTCATTTTAAATGAATTGAAAAGTAATGGTAACCGTTTGTGAATGTTTTTACAGCTGTTTAGCTATATCAATTGCAAAATTAACCCCTCCCCCTCCCAACATTTATTTTCAAAATCTAGTTTTCGACATTACAGGACCATACACATCATTAAATAATAAATTCGCATTTTTACATCGATAAATATAATGTGAATTCATCGTAATGTAATTTCAAAATATTATATTCATAATTACAAATGTATATTATATGACTTTTGTAACCGAAGGGTTGACATTAATGGTGACAGTTTATCTTTGAAATCAGAGACTTTTACTTGTATAGTTATTTGCATTCCAGAGTTGTGTGAATACATCGGTGATACCTTTGAATATTTGCTTTATAACACTTGAAATTAAACCTCAATATAATAATAACCTTAACCCTACCAAGTATTAAAGCAATCCGCAGAACAGAAGAAATGAATAGCGATAGAATTTCAATTTTGACATAGTGATAAATATCTGGCCCTCTTAAATAAAGTCTTATTTGTACAAATGCGAGATCAAATGTATATTAACAAAATGCCTTTTATATAGATTTAAATGCAGGGATATAAATTCCACATCGGGGTCCATATCACTGCTAAAACTTGTACAATAAAATTTTAGAAATAATCAGTCATCTTTTCCTTCCTCTCCTAGGTCTAATATGGCAATAAAATGTGAATGAATGAAGAAAAAACATCAATGTAAAACCTACATATTTTTTCTTTCATTCGTTGTCAAAAGATCTCTCATCTTTAGTAGATTGTGTAAGATGTTTTTTGTAAACAAAACTATACCTATAGGGATAGGTGACACAAGGACCATAGGCTCTCATTACTCATACTGATCATACAGTCGTGACAAAAGACCATTTTTCATACTGTTCAACAAAATAATACCTAACAAGCCAATTAGGCTGCTGGGACATTTAACATGTACATATTTAACATTGAACATGAAATTAGTATACGGTTGACATAAAACAGGTTATTTAATTCATAAATGCTGACAGGGGGTGACCTCTCCCTCAATTTGTGACCATTAAAACGCAGACAAAAAACTTCACCCGATATACGCAAATCGCATTGAAGCTATAGTACAATAGCTATATTTCTCATCTTCCTGAAACCTTGAGAGATATTATTGATTTGAAAGCACGGATGTACAGACTGAAATCAAACAACCGAAAACAAAAAAGACCGCTAAAGGCCATCCCCAAAGAATATACTCGTTGTGCTAATTTTATAGTTATAAAGCCGGAAATGTTCTCCAAATTCTATTACTTGCCTAGTTTTTGATCTTTTGATATTCGCATGACAATGCTCTGGCTAGTCAATTTGCGAATAATAAACATAACTTCATGACGGTCTGTTAAACTGTAAAACTGGAAGAAGAACGCACCAATTTGTATAGATGATCAATGCTATTGGTAAACTTAAAATTATTCGGAAAAAATAAGAGGTTCGCCATGTCCGGCATTAGCTACTGACGGTTTTCTGAAAAGTTCATTGAAATCCAGGTACTGGTTCGCGAATAATTGAGCGAATACAAAAAGTGTGGACGGACGCAAGGACTCAAAACCATAATGCACTCGACAGATCCACCTTTCCCACTGTGCCCTGGTCGTTTCTCTAAGCATAACTAACTTCGACCTCAAATTTCCTTTTATAAATAACTTATATTACAAGGTCATAGATGCACAAACTACTAAGTATTCTTTCTGTCTTTCTCCCAGTACTCTGACATGTCACATTTTCTTTGCCTATAAAGTAATTACAGCAAAGTTGAATGGTCGTTAACAATTATTTTTTTTCTGATAGCTAGTTTCTGCTGATTGCCAGTTTACTGTGTGCCAAGTTTTCTGTTGATGATATTGCGAAAAAGCACTGCCAGATGTGCTAAAACAACAACGATGTTTTATTATTATGATGAATATTCTAGAACAGATCAGCAATCAGTAACAACATGTATTATGTGGATAACTGTAACTGCTACTTAATGATAACAAATTGCTATAATTTTTGGTAAATTTACAGTAAAGTTAAATATTTAACACCATAATTGAATATTTATTACCATAATGTCAATAATATTAACCTAATATGTGTTTTATAAGTAGATAACTAAGTGTTAAAACGTATTCGCTTCACCGTTTATGGAAACAACTCTTGTATTTCTGATCCATTGTGAAAGCTGCAAATATTTTTCATTATTTTTACTAAATTTAAGTTTATAATTATACGGTAAAGCGTTAAACAGAAAAATCGGTAACTGAAAACAGATTTATGTTTTGAAGAAAAAAACAATAGCGAACTGAAAAAAGTCAAACATAAAGAAGATTACGAATGTGTTTCCGTAATCGTGAAATTTTCAAAAACGTGCACAAATGTCTTAACGAAAGTGCTTAAAACCAATAATTTAAAATATGTAAGAATCAAATTTTAACACAAAAAAGCCGAGTGGGAGTGAAGTAAGATAGTAACTGTGCTTAAAAAATCAGAGAGTAAAGTGCAGCAACAATTGACTTCTTACATGACTTCAAATAAGTTATGATTCAGTGCTTGTTTTATGCGGTTTTATTGAGAAATTTAACCACTTTTATGGTAATATGTATAAAAGGATAGATCAAAATCACAGATTCTTTGAACAGGATTTTCCTATTTGCCCGAAGTAGTTAGGAAAAGAATTGTCGTTCTATGAAGCAACAATTGTCAGTGCACGACTTTAAGTGTTAATGTGAAGATATTACACTTAAAAGATGTCGGAAATAGAATGTAACTTGTGAAGTATATCACGTAACGGGGTCTAACGTGACCAAGTTAGACCCCATGAGGAATATCCATTACGTATTTATCAGTCTTGTTATTGTAGGATTATCTGATTATAGCCCAATTGTTTATGATTATTTACATGCATCAATCAATGAGTTTTCTGATAACCAATTTTGATTACTATTATTACGAAACAATATGAATTGGGTATTGCTATGTTTTCCCCTTTTTACCACTGACTTTTAAATGCACATTTATACACTGAAGTGCCATTGACGACATATAGTGATTGAAAAAAAAACATTAAATAAACCTAGACTAAAAAATGAAATGTGCAATATTCAGCAAAATAATGTTATTTATTACTAAGTGGTGTTGATAAGTGTGTAACAGTTGTTGATAACTATATAGAAGTTAATGAGTTCACTTTCTAAAGTTCTGTGAGCTTTTCACTAAATGGAGCAACACACAGCATACGTTTAGACATTGACGTTTTTTTCCGGATTATCTATGTAAATACTGGAATACCGTATGCTGTTACATTGCAAATATCTAGACGTAGAGTTTTATTATTTTAGAAACAAATGAAATCGAATTGGGTTTCATCTTTCATTTCATTCAAATCACAATGTTCACCAAAGAAGGGCCCCATAATAGTATCTAGCATTTTAAAAATATTCCATACGTATAGCTACTTCAAATCAATGTTCAAATATTGGGGAAATAGATTATGTCAAAGTTGCAGTTTTCTTTAGACATACATCTTGCCAAATTGTCTATAAATATATGATCAATAACGATTTACATGTGGTTACAGGTATCACAAACAGGTAGTTTGTATGATATCTAGATTGGTAGATAATAGGTACTTTGAGAGAATGATAAGATATCAATGCCAGCATTAATTTCTCTATCTGTAAATCTCATCAGAAGATTTTGTAAGTGGAGGTGGAATATGACCTCCATTAAGGTCAAATGCATGCTACTGACAACTGGGAATGATTATCATCTTTTTTACTAAATACATTATCTTTATCGTAATACTCTGTAATGCAACAGATTTCATCGTGCACCGGGATTTTGTAAAAGATGGGTGGACACTTCTGATACTGGTAGAATAGTAATGACGTATTCGTAATTTTCGTCTTCTCTTACATTATACCAATAATAGGGATTTGCGGTATGGTTGCCAATGAGACAACTATCCACCAGAGTCCAAATTATGTGAATGTAAGCAACCTTTTTCTGTTTTTTCGTATTAAGAGCGACAGATCGCCCTCTAAATCCACCACTGGTTTTCATTTAAGCATTTTTATGTTGTTATATTGAAAGATTATTTCAATATTGTAAGTATTCAGAAACACAAATTATACATTTTGCTAAGACACTTAAATTTGTATCACCTCTCCTCAGTTCTCTCGTAATTGTGATGTAAAAGATGTACCAGCTTTACAAGATAATGTCACGTTGATGAGTGCAGAAGATTTTTACTGCCAAATGCATGTAATAAAACTTTGAGATGATAATTAATAAAACTAAATAAAAGTACTACCACGATACAAACATTATGAAAAAACTAAGCACTACTTGTTAACAATTTTGATAATTGCCCAAAACTTTCAGTTTCAAATATTGTTTAACTGATAAAAAAAATAAACTAAATAAATTAACCTCGGATCATTACTTTTGACCTTTCATATTGTCATACCACGGGTTATACTATTATTTGTCCTGATATAACAACCTATTAATAAAACATAGATGTCAAACTACTTAACTCTAGGATGGACGAACTCAGTTTTGTCACTTTTATATTTAAGTATGTAGGAAATGATTTTATAATGATACATTTTCTTAATGATGTGCCCTAAAAGAGAAAGATTTGATCCGAAGGTTTTTGGCATGTATTTTGATGTCAACGACCATCACAATTCAATGCTCTATTTGAAGTCGAGATAATGATCAGGAACGATCAAAATATTCATTTTACATTTTTGGGCCGTAGCAGAGTTATAGGTGGTAGCTCCTTCAGTTATTTCGACCGTTTGGCTGTGTAAGGTCAGTGTATATCTACACAATATGGTCGGAACCCAGACAATAACTCCGCTGCTAGTAGATGATCAGGAAGTTATAGTCGTCGTTAGAAGTTATTGTAAGTTGTTCCTGTAACAAAGAAAACTATCATATCCCGGTACGTCCTCATTTCCCAGTATCCTGCTGGTCAACCCACCTTTATTGGTAAATCCTACATTTGCTTAGTCCTTAATATGAATTTAATATTTGCCGCTGGACATCAAGTTTAGCAAGCTCTTATCAAAATATTCATAACGATAAGAAACTATCATGTTAGCTCTTAAACCTTAATGGAAAGTTTTTTATTTCATTATTAATCAAATTTCAGCTATCACGTAATGGTGTGGGAGACAGGAGTGGCTTACGACCGGGGGACGGAATTCTAAAAATAAATAATGTGCCAGCAACGTATTTAGACCACGAACAAGCTAAAATGGAAATTATCAGAAGTGGAAACGAACTAGATTTTGTGGTGCAAAGGTATGGTTATGCTTTGGACAGACCAAACTAGCGCGAAATAATGATTGAAAAAATAATTTCAAAATTTTTTTTAGAAAAAAGGTCAAGAATAAACATATTTTTTTTACTGGAATTTCCGTTTATGGTTATCAAGATTAAGATTATGCAAAACTGAAAACACAAAGTTGAGAAGTTAAGTTACGGTGTCGTAGAACTAAATAAAAGTAGATTTGTAGTGTACGCCAATGAGACGACATAAACAAAAAACAAAAAAAACATCTAAAGGACAATGTGCACTCTTCAACAATAAACAGTTCTACTTTTAAATGAATATTCTTTGAGATTTTAAGGCCAAACAATGACTGACTAATTGATATAATACATGTACTTCATTTTTTTTGGTCAAATAAGATCCTTTATGCATGCACCTCCTCTATTGCTAGACGTGTACTTTATTGTCGAAATGATTTTTTTTCTCTGTACTCCGTACTCAACAAACCAAATATTGTTGTAAGCTGGTACCAGACATATTCAATGCCACGATTGTGTTCTATTACGAAATAATTCGGGTATCAAATTAAATATCTCAGTCAAGTTTAACAGAATAAACAGTAAATATACAAAATTATACAAATGTAAACGAAGAAAAACACACTTATGTAATGCATAATGATATAATACTACATCTCTTAGACTAAATGTAGAATAATAACATGTAATTCCAGCAGAGCAATTATATAATAAACTAATTACTGTTGAGGTATTACTTTGCTTTTTACCATGTATATCAGTGTAGCTATGTGAAGGCTGTCTGATGCTAGATAATTAACATCGTGTTACAGCAAATAACAATTGAGCAGAATTGACATGTGACAAGTATTAGCCAATCTATAACTTCTCAACAAGTCATTGCATCTCAATTTTATGAATGAGAATACTTGAGCAACTATTTTTATCTCATTTTACCCGGTTACGACAGTTAAACTTTGTTTGTCATAAACACACTGTAAAAATGGTGTTTAGATCCTAAACACATTTCTAAGCACATCTTTTGTGCACTTGTTTTTACATGTTTAGATCTAAACGTGTCTCAGTACAATGTGTTTAGGATTGTGTTTAGAATCGTGTTTAGCTTAGAAAAAAGTGTTTAATTTCTAAACACATTAAAAGTATTTAAATTCAAGACATGTTTAGATAGTATGTGCTTACTGAGAAATGTGTTTAGAAATTAAACACAATCATAAACACGTTTAGATCTAAACATGTAATACAAAGTGTTTAATTTCTAAGCACGACTTTTACAGTGCATTTATATGTTCCTTCTCCAATAGGAAAAAGCTGACAAAAGACGGTTTGAGCTAATCTTGGTTTTATAGTTCATCATTGCATGTTTGAATCTTTCGCTATATGTCTGTCTGGTAGAGTTCATTTGACCTTGACCTCGACCTCATTTTTACGGTTCATTGGTCAATGTATATAGTTTCATTGTACTGAGGTCCTTTCTCGGGGACTATAAGCATAAGGTTTAACTATATTTTGTGTATGATATGATTGTACGGTGTAACATGTTTGCTTGATTAAGTCCGTTTCTCATATGCTATGGCATCCACAAGTTACCCTTTGAATCCCGAGACAGTTTCCACTGAAACTGCAGGTCTAATTAAAAAAAATATCCATTATTTCTAGATAGAAAAGCATTGTAACAAATTTTGAGTCTTTCTCGAGATGTATACATACTCCTTGCTTGTACCGATTATCAGGTTGTTTGGATATTGATATTGTAAAATATCAGCTGTGAGTCACAATATAAGGCTTTTTGTTTAGTGAGCGCAGCAAACGAGTTCAAAAAGGCTTCATATTGTGTCGAGCAGCTGATATTTTTACAATATAAATATGCAGACAACCAGATAATCGATTTATCGGTTTGTATTTGCGTATTTTGCATGATAGAAACAAGTGTTTTCTTTGTTTCATAAGCAAACCGGAAGATGAGGTCAAACTTATCAACGTCGGTTCATTCATTATGAAGTTGGTGATTTGTCCTGGTCAAAGTTATTAAGGCCGGGTCAACGTCCAATCCATGGAGGGTAGTGTGTTAATTTATTTACGTCACAAATCCGTGATATGTAATTTTTTTAGAGCTGAGCAGAGTGACACAGACATGTAGTGGGACGACCTATAACAAACTGATATGGGTGTTTGTTTATTATGCACATTTTATTCAAGAGATAAGTTTTATGTAAAAAAATCTTTAAACTTCAGAGGCGGATTTAAAAGGATGCAGCGGGTGTCCATTCACCTACTATATTGGAAAACATCGGCTTTTTTTGGCATTAAAAAAGTAAAAAAAATCGTCTCGTTCTGCTCTAAACCCCTAACCTCACCACTGAATTAATCTAAGGAAACGTGTGCTTCTAAATTACTTATGCAATATGTCTTATTTCAATGGATAATTGTTTTAGTGTCCACATGTCAGTTTGAGGTAGCTTATATCGTTTTAAAGCTGTAAACACTATTTGCTCGGTTTGCATTCGATGCAGTTCTGAATCTTATGAAAAATATGAATTAATCAATTATTTGGGGAAAAACCTTTACAAACAGACAAAGGCATAACATTGAGAATGGAAATGGGGAATGTGTCAAAGAGACAACAACCCGACCATAGAGCAGACAACAGCCGAAGCCGCCACCAATGGGTCTTCAATGCAGCGAGAAACTCCCGCACCCGGAGGCGTCCTTCAGCTGGCCCCTAAACAAATATGTATACTAGTTCAGTGATAATGGACGTCATACTAAACACCAAATTATACACAAGAAACTAAAATTAAAAATGATACAAGACTAACATAGGCCAGAGGCGCTTGTTTCTGTAAATATGCCCTGTTTGATTTTTTTTGTTTTATGTTTTTATTCCCCCGCCGTAGGCAACGGGGGCATTTAGTGTTACCCTTGACCGTCTGTCTGTCTTTACGTCCGTCCGTCCGTCCCATTATCGTTTCCGCACTCTTTAAGTTTTCTTCATTCAAATTTTATAACTTGGAAAATTGCAATTTTTTTCGTTTCCGCACTGTAAATTAAGTGTTCCTCGTCCAAATTTTATGAAACTCATACACAATGCTAGGAACCACAACACGCAGACAAAGTTCGAATTTGGGCAGTAAGTCATTTACCGTTCTAGAGTTATCTCTCTTTATAAAAATAACAAAGCTTGAGCTCCGACACATTCCTCTTTTAGTCTATCTTTGAGGTAGGCCTATATGGTTTTGTGTGGGTTTTTTTTTTACAGAAGCTGAAGCCTGAGGTAACAGAAAGAAAGGTACAGCATCTAATAAAAAAGAATAAATATAGATAGTAAAGTGAAATGTAGAAATTTTATTTCATTCTTCTGATTTCAGAGATGCCATAGATGTAGGTCAACATAGAGGAGCACAAACTAAACCAGCACCAAAACAACGTTCTGAAGTTGATGAGGAACCCTCGATGTATAAGGGATACACTAACCCTAATGTACAGTCTAGATCATTTAAAATATTACAACAATCATTAAATTATTCAGAAGCACCACAAGGTAATCATCATTTGAATAATAATGACTTGCAAGAAAAGGGCGGGTTCGGATACTGCACCAATGTAACCCCACCACTCATTGTTAAACGCGCAAAGGTAAACACATGTTTCTAAAGTTTTCTGTTGTGGTTTGTCTTTGTATGATTCAGTTGTCCCTTATTATTGACCTATTTAACACTTTTTGTTTTGTGTTGTAATGGGGGAGTTGTGGGGGGCATGGAGGGTAGTGTGTTGCCCGATGTCAAAGAAGAAGAAGAAAAACACTGCTAAAAGGATGTACGAAGGATTTTTTCTGGTTGTATGAAGAAGTTAGCATTGACAATGTGACTTGTCTGTCACAAAATTCTCCTTTAGAAATCTGTGAATCTCTAAATGAATTATGTTAGTTTTTTTTTAAACTAAAAAGGCCTTTTCCTTTGTCATCTTTTGGCTCAATTAAAAAAAAACAAATATGCAGGTTCTGGTAGAAATTGTTTACGATCTGTTTAATTGTACAAAAAATTGTCATGTTTGACATTTTGCAAACTGTAACTTGTAGAAAATATTATGGATGGACTTGAGATGGTCGTTAATTGCTTTTTGCAGATGGACCTTCTGAAGCTGGACAAATGAAATTGATGAGTATGTCTGACTTCATGTATTCTACAGGAATGTCTAATTGAACCACAATATGATATCGTCATTTCTTTATATTTCGAAGTTGTTTCGTTTTTATTTACATTCCTCTGTTCTTCATATGATGTCATGTTCGTCTACACAGAATTTTGTATTTTTTGGCCTCGAATGGTTTAATAAGAGGGCTGCCTTCGCCAGTAGAGGTAGTGTGATCAATCAGCTACCAAAACCGAGGGAATGTTATTCACAAATTATGGAATGGTTTGAATGTACGAAAAGTGATTGTTTAGATTTGAAATGTTACTCGTTTAAGAATACAACCATCGAGTTTGTGATAAAACATGTTTTTCCACTCGGATTTGGTAGCTGGAACCAGAGCTTCAAACTTGTTGTTCGTATTCCAATACTAATACTACCACCACTACTAATTTGTTATTCTCTTTGATAATTTTCGCTGTTTTCCACATTTTGTTCTGCATATTTTAGTTCTGTTGGTTTTAAGATGTCCCTCATTTATTTACGTTACTCTGTTTTTATAGTCTTTTGTTTGTTTCTCTGTGGTTCATGTTCTTTTCTTCAGTTTATTATTGGTTATGTACATATGTATATATTGTGAAAATGAAAGAATGCGTCTTTTCTATCTTTGATTTTAAGGGCTATTCCATTAAAATGTATGTGAGAGGGTAGGAAGGGTCTTTCAAAATATCCCTACAACCAAGAACCATTTTTTAGAAAATTTTGCATAATGGTAATAGACGCACACTGAAAAAAGACCCATGACCCAATTAAACTTCCCTTCCTACCCTCCCACATACATTTTAATGGAATAGCCCTAATGTATTTCTGTACTGAAATAAAATAAGATTAAAAAAAATAAATGGGTTTTCTAATTTCTTTTCTTGGCAATATTGTATTGTAATCAGACAAATATTTTAATTCTTCATGTTGTCTTAACTGGCATGTCATCTCTGGAAATTATAAGAGAATACGGGTTTAAGTTTCACCAAGCCGCTGAGAACCAAAATAAATGATATCATTATAGAACAATCAAAGAACAATAACTCTAATTCAACAGACAAGTTTAAAACTGGTCCAATTTCTAGGATTTTTGTTCTCTTTTTCAGAATGAATAGAAGCATTTTTGCAGCCATACGTATCCAGGTTATTATAAGAGGAGGAGATTATAAAACACTCATCAACAAAGACTAAATGTGATGCACCATTCCTAAAACTTATATACTAGCGATGGAAAGTAGTTCTTTGCAGGCAGTTCTTTTAGTAGAGAAAATTAGTATTGATTTAGTGTTATGCTGTTTCTTTCACTGAGCGCTATAATGAGGCACCTCATTCGTCATAACTAAGTCACTCATTTTGCATGTCTCGTCGATGTTGATCAGGTTTTTATTTATTTATTTCAAATTTTTGTTTACTCTATTTTTTTGTTGTTGTATATCGACGCTTTTATATCAAAATTACCTATATTGTAGTAATTTCATGATTATTAGGGGGATAACACGCTTTTTGGATGTAAAAAAAAAGTCAGATATGGAAAAAATTACCCCCAAAAAAGGGGGATAGGGAAATGAGCACCCCATCTTACCAACTCATTTATATTTACAGGTCAATCAAACTCATCAGAATCAAGTCGTATATATGTATATGTGTTTAAATTGGTCCATTTCAATCACATGTGAATACTTTGGAACAAATACTGTTAAACAAATTGGAAAAAAATTCTTAAAAGCTATGTTAGTTATTTGGTTTTTTATATCGTTATTATTTCCTCTTTACAACGGGATTTTATTTTTTCAGCGGTAAAAATATACATTTTGTAATACTAACTCGCAAAACTATCCCATATTATTTATTTTTTTTGCTGTTTTAAGGTATTTTATTTTCACTTTTTTGTGCACATAATAGCTTTTAATAAGAAGGAGTTCTGTTGTCCTTAAAAATAAGTGTTGCCATGTTACGTGACAATCACCAGTTATATTTATATAAGAGATGTATCAAAATACTGTTTTATTATTTGTTGCAGTCCCTGAAATAGAGGCTTTTGACATCCCGTTTGTCAGTCTGACAAGATCTAGGACGTGAGCTTTAAGTCTTGTTTCGGAGATTGTATTTGTTGATATTATTTATAAATATGATATTATATATATATATATATATATGTGTATACTGGAAAGTTATTCCTTATATTTTTGCGTTATAGTGTGACGATATTGAATAAATATTTTATGTTTGGCCATTGTTTTTGTTTAATGAACACCTTATAAATGTGGTGCGTTGGAACCGCTGTTCTAGATTTACCCTCATTAGGAACTCTCAAATCCCCAAAAATGGAAATGTAAGTCATTGGAAGCTTTATGACTATAATCAACCTTAAAAGAATCATAGCAAAGTTCATCGAAAGATCAATTTTGCCTGAGAAGCTGAAACTTAAAGTTTCTTGATAATTTCAAAATGTATTAATTACTGATATCCTTGAGGACCACCACCCAGTGGCGTAGCTTGACCCTTATTTGAAGTTATGCAAACGGTTTGAGGTTTTGATACAATGCCTCACCACGGTTTAAAAACTATTGAAAGCTGATGGTTGAAGCAGGGGCGGACGCAGGATTTTAGGTTCTTTATTAAGCTGAGGACAACCCATGCTTAGCAAATTTTAAGGGGGCGCACGCCCGCCACACCCCCGCCTGAATCCGCACATGCGAGGGGCGAAACCGGCGTCGCAAAAGAGTTTACATCATTTACAATAGAAAAAGTCGATTTTATTATACTGATTTGATTGATGGATTGTTCTTTATTTAAGGCCCAGTCATAAATAAATCATGCATTTTTAGGACGAGTACAAATCAACAAATATCCAATAAATAGGCTATGCTGGCTGTGTCGACCAGAATAAAGAGCACAAATTTCGATTCAGGCCAACTGGAAAAGAATGACGTGTTAGACATGGACTTGAAACAGCCCCCCTACAGACTCCTGAAAGAGTTTTTGTAATGCTTCTTTAACGTGAAGAGGACGTGGCACTCTCCCTACACTAGGCATAGGATTTAACGCCCCAATTCCGACCGGACGTGGCTGCGTATTTATATCCTACACTGCTGGAAAGAAATCCAGGGATGACCCTGCCAACCCTTATGTTTTATTCAGAACGAGAACAAATCAATAAATCCAGTAAGTATGTTCTGCAAAATGAGTTAATTAGAATGATGGTTAGAGGGTTTGGACCTCCACTGCGAAAAGAGGGTATTTAGAATGTTGTATTTGTATGGAACACGTACATCCCTCATAGCCAAACGACTGCCCTTCGGCATGGGTTTTACTACTGCACGATATTCTAAGTAACAAAATTTCTATATTCCTGTCTATCCGTGGGTCATTTTTTTGTATGATATTTCATAGATTAACTAGATAGTCTATATCGTGAAATATAACATTGTGCAGTCGTGTAACATTATTACATGTACATGTAATTGACATATTTATAGTCGGAATCATGGTTTCAATCTTAAAATTTAAGAGCTATGTTGTTTTGTTCTTTTTCTTGCCTTTTTTTTGAAGGAGGTAAGGATGCATTTGATTGGCTATATACTACATTATCATTTTCGAAATTCAGACGCAGTTGAACGAGTTCTCAAGCTAAATTCATTCAAAATTTCATCAAAATCCGTAATCCGCCTTATAACGTGTTTTTTTTTCCATGTTCACAGCGGAAAATAAAAGCAATAGTGACCTTTCGGTGCTAATAAGCACTTTGATTTAAATGTGGATACCTCTTGAAAAAGGGAGTACTGACATCTTACCAATTTTTTGGTTTTGACATCATTCAGGAATACCATGATCATATATAGTGCATTCCGCGGTACAAATATAAGATCGAAACTTTTTCATCATAAAAACTTGGAAAATCTTTGTAAAAGACTTATTTCAAATCTACTTACTATTCCAGTCATTTCGATTTTCACGGAGTAATCAGTTACAAGCTTGATGGCATATCGTCACAAACTCGTCTCAGATATTTTTTGTATCAAATTTCTCCTTGATAATCGAAATTGAATATCAAACTACCGTAACAGTAAGTAGATATAAAGGGATATAGTTAAAATAAATCCGAGACAAGGACATGTGAGTTCAAAGCATAATATTTGGTCTCTTGTGGAGAGTAGTTTCATTGGCAATCATATCACATCTTCTTATTTTTATATAATAGCATATAACCCAATTCCTCAGTGGTCTCCCGTACTCATTTGTTTTGTTACTCGCGATTGAGATGTTGATAGAAACAGTGATAATCATCTTTCTGAAATTTGGTGATTTATCTACCCTCGTTTGTTCCTCTTTCTCATCCAAGTCATTCTGGTTGTCCAGGTCTGAGGATGAATAATCTGCAATACGAATGCCTTTTTCAATTTATCTATCATAACCACCTCTCATTAAGGTAGTCTCACCTTCGTCGTCTTATTTAGAAGCCTGATCGTCCTCTTTTCATCACGCCAATTGTTCGTATGCCTGTCCCAATCAGGAACCTCACCAGTGCTTGTCTCTGGGTAGATCTTACTGGTGTTACTACTTTTAAATGTTATGTTGATGATCGCGCTTAACGAGGGACTCTGTTAAATTTATTCACAACTTTTTCAGACCCTGAGCTATTTAGAGTTAGATACTTGCTTATTTGTTAACCTCTACATATATTTTGACGCTTTGAGTCGTTGGGTGATGTCCCCTTTGATAAGTTCGACGTCTCCTACTAATCCGATGATATTTCATTCTAAAAAGTGACAACATTTCAATCACCCCCAAATCTGTACTAGCAATAAACTATCAAAAATATCTAAATGCATGAACTGGTATTCAATTTTTTGCTCTCGGACCTTGCGAAAACAAATAAGATTTGAATATCTTTTTTGGAAATGCATCAGAAATATCTGAATGCATGAACTGGTATTTAATATTTTACACAACCTTGCAATAATACATAAAACTGGAATATTTGTTTGGAAATACACGATAAAAATATCAAGGTACATAATGGTTTACTTTTATAAATTTTGACTTGGATGGAGAGTTGTCTCATTGGCACGCATACCACATCTTCTTATATCTAAATAGGGGAAAAAAAAGAAAATACTATACTCACTGTAAAGGTTTCGTATTTAAATCAGCGGGAAAAGCAAAACTGACAGTGTTACTGGTTGAGGTAAGTACATATATCAAAAACAAACAATGCGACTCCAAAGTCTAAAGTTATTGCATGATGCGTACTATATTATTGAAGAACATATCATAGTTTGTGAACTATTGAACTTAGTTACTTAGTTACAGGTGAGACCTTAGTGTAGTTATTTATAGATGTCTTTTCTGTATGCCAGTATCAGAAATTTTCATAAGGGGGGCCCACTGACTGCCTAAGGGGGACCCGCTCCAGTCATGCTTCAGTGATTCCCTAAATAATTAACCAAATTTTTCCCGAAAAAGGGAGGCCCGGGCCCCCTGAAAAACCCTCTAAATTCGCCTCTGAGTATGTCAGTGAAATTATTGCCTAAATTGTTGAGTCTCGGTTTCACTTTATATCCCTAATCTTGTTTTTATTCATATCAAATTTGGTATTGAACATTACAAAGTTCACGCTACGCATGGGCTTCCTAAACTACTAAAGAAACATTACAAGTTCCGATTCATGTCATCCAGCGAATACTCCTGTTTTGCTAACAAATAAGGCGCTAACAATTGATAAAGAACTCTTTAAATGAATACAAGAAAGTATACCCACATGAAGCTGTGGTAACTGAAGAGAGGTAGGGCCAATTCTCGTTGAATTTGTCTCAGTCCTCCTGTGTTTTAGTTACATAGTCAACTTCTAAAAGTCGCCATATCCTTTCTGGAATATCAAAGAGTTTATATCATATATATACTTGCAAACATGTTCAACAATTTGATAATCCTGTCCTCTTTTCTATCTAATGTGAAATCACCGACTAAGACTTATCACTTAGTTTGTACTTACACGAGCAACACGACTGGTGCCACATGTGGAGCAGTATCTGCTTACCTTTCTGGAGCACATGAGTTCAACTCTGGATTTTTGGTGGGGTTTGTGTTGCTCAGTCCTTAGTTTTCTTTGTTGTGTTTTGTCTACTGTTGTTTGTCTTTTGGTCGCCGTTTTTCGTTTTTCGTTTTTCAGCCATGGTGTTGTCAGTTTGCCATCGAAGTTATGATTTTGAGTATCCCTTTAGTATTTTCCGCCTCTCTTTTGCATATTTCCATAAAACAAAATCTTACTCAGCGCTACGTATTGCCATTGAAAGGATTTTAAGAAAAAAATATTTACGTTTTTGTAAAATTTTGCATCGAAGCATCATTCTCATCGGAATGAATTAGTCTGTATCCGAAAATCAAAATACAGTTTTATGTGCAACAGAAAATTGTTTTGGTTAAGAATGTCCTTCTTATACACTTTGCTTTGGATACGACTAAAATGTCAAAACTGTGGTTTGAGATATCTTAAGATGTTTACAATTTGTGGTCATCTATTTAAAAATGCTAGTAAGCCATTACATTTTCAGAATTTCAAAGTACGTATGATAAAACCTCCTGGTATTCGCTTCTCGTCAGGACTTTGGAAGGTCATGGGTAAGGGTCTAGATGGGGTTTACAGAACCAATGCTACATTTTATTCCTGATGTTTTTGTTCAAGCCTGAAATTTTGGACAAGGTTTTATTTTCAGTTCTAACAGTGACATATAATAAAATACATTTCTACATTGTATTTTGTTAAGGTTGTGACTACAGCTTCTAGTTACTCAACTCTTACGGATTGTGAATCTAAAAGGATCCTTGAAAGGTATCTTAACATTTTTACGATGACACAAACATGCAACATATGTTTTTAGATTCCTGTTGTTGAAATCACAAAATTCAGCCGCGTTTGACTTTAGTTCATGATTTGTAAAACCGATCTCAGTGTAGCTTTATGTATCGGCATACTGAGTTAATAAGTACGGAGCCCGGTTGACAGATAAAGAGTTATTTTTTTCCATAATCAAGCGCTGGAGATATAAAGTCTAGCGCCGTTGATTCAAAGTCACTGAGCGCTGGAGATGTAAAGTCTAGCGTGGGGATGTAAAGTCCTGCGCTGGAGATTGCTAAGTCCAGCGCTGTATATCCATGTCCAGCGCTGTATATCTATGTCCAGCAATGTAGAAATAAAGTTCAGCGCTGAAGATATAAAGTCCAGTGC